AGTTAGGGGGTGAAAAGGTACTTGTCAATGGTGATTCTTATCCCTTTGATCACCCAAGAGATGACCCCTTTTGTTGAATTGTCCAGGTCCCAGCTCCCTGTCTGAATTCATAATATAAATCCCCAAAATGTGGAGTGTGGAGACCGAGGCTGGGTTAGGTAGCATTAGGTATGAGGTTTTTCTGGCATCAAATGGCTTTCCATAAGGACTGTTATTTCTGCAAAATTACTGTCTTTAAGCCTCTATCAATTCCTTATATAAACTGATTTCTAATTTTTGTAATTTTTCCTTAGCAGGCTAATCTCAAGCCTTGGTGGTTCTTTATCTCTATTGTTTATGGCACATTGCCTTGATATTTTTTTTTTCTTTTGCAAAGTCCTTTATGCTTTCCTTATTTTTTTCACATCTCTGTTATTTCAGCCACCTCCCTCAATTTGTATGCTGAATTAAACCTCAGAAAAGTTGAAAGAATAGTACAGTGAAAACTTACATATCCTTCACTTAGAATACAGAATAGTTCCACTGCCCTGAAGATCCCCTGCATTCCACCTGTTCCTCTTCAGTGATCTTTTTATGTTGCTGTCATTTTGCACTTTCAAGAATGTCACAGAATGTAGCCTTTTCACGCTGGCTTCTCTTAGCAGTATGCATTTGGGGTAGATCATTTCTCTTTATTGCTGCATAGTATTTCATTGTGGGTGTCCCACATTGTGTTAATCCATTCTCCTGCTGAAGGACATCTTAATTGCCCCGACTTTCTGGCAGTCAAGAATTAATCTTCTGTAAACATCTCTGTGTAGGTTTTTGCATAGACATAAGTTTTCCATTAATTTGGATAAATACAAAGTATGATTACCAGGTCATATAATAAGAGTATGTTTAAGTATGTTTAGTTTTAAAGAAACTGCCAAACTGTGTGTCCAAGTGGCTCAACCGTTTCACATTCTCACCAGCAACAAATTCCTGTTGTCTCACATCCATGTCAGCACTTGGTGTTTTTGGTGCTTTGGGTTTTGGCCATTCTCTTTGTTTTATTTATTTATTTTTTCATTCTCTTTGTTTTAATTTGCGGTTTCCTAATGGCATGTGATGTTGAGAATCTTTTCATATGTCCATTTGGCATCTCTGTATCTTCTTTGTTGAAGTATTGGTTAAGCTCTTGGGCACATATTTAATTAGATTGTTTTCTTATTGATGAGTTTTAAGAGTTCTTTGTATATTTTAGATAATAGTCCTTTATTAGATACGTGTTTTGCAAATATCTTCTCTCAGTCTGTGGCTTGTTTTTTTGTACTCTTAATAATGTCTTTCATAGACCAGAAGTTTTTACTTTTAATGAAGTCAGTTTTTTCTTCATGAATAGTGCTTTTAGTGTTATATATAAAAACTCACTGCTAAACCCAAACGCAATCACTTCTAGAATTTTTATGATTTTTGTCTATGGTTCATATTGAACACAGTTTTGTAAAGGGGACAAAGTATGTGTCTAGATTGATTTCTTTACATGTAGATGTCTACTGATGTCAGCAACAATTGTTAAAAAGACCTTTTCTCCATTGTATTGCCTTTGCTCCTTTGGCAAAGATTAGTTTACTGTATCTGTGTGGGTCTGTTTCAAGGTTCTCTCTTCTGTTCCATTGATCTCTTTGCCTAATATTTCACCAATATTATACTGTCTTGTCTTATAGTAAACAAGAAGGTAAGTCTTGAAGTCTAGGGAAGTTTAGTCTTCCGATTTTATTGTTGTTCAGTATTGTGTTGGCTATTTTGTTTTTTTGCCTTTCCATGTAAACTTTAGATTAATTTGTCAATATTCACAAAATAACAGGCTGAGATTTTGAGTGGGATTGCACTGAATCTATAGCACAAGTAAATATGAAATTCCCTATGCTCAAATTGCTCCATAACATAACAGTTGCATTGACATAAACTCAGCAAGTGGTAAAAGTCAAACTGACTATGTACAGATGTAGAGAAACTTTCCCCCCTGAACCATTTGAAAGAAAGGCACAGATAACAGTTCACTCCTAGATAGTTCAGGATAAGCCCTTTAAGAATAAGAATATTTTCCCATATAACCACAATACCATTACTGTTCCTGTGATAATTAATTCTAATTTGTAAGTTAGCGTTTTAAAGACATCTTGTCCTTATCAAAGCTTTTTTTTTTTCCCCTTAAATCTTCATCTGTTCTGTACTAAGCACTATACTGTGTTAGGATATGAAGACAAACAAAATTCCCACCTTTTAGAAGTTCACAGACTCCTGGGGAGACAGAAAGACATAGTTATGGTAGTGTGCTATGAGGGCCGTAGTAGCTAAATTTACTTTCCTTTACTTTCCTTTCATTCAAGGAAAGTCAGCAGAAATGTGCTTCCCATGGGATAAAGGTCGTTCTTTGCAGAGTAGCATTCTAGAGTCTGTGCCTCAGCCTGTTCCTGATGGTTCGCTCTTCCCAACCCAGGGAGGCTCGTGTTCATCTAGAAATGATGGATGTAACTAACAGGATGCCACTCACTCCCTCTGATTCATTCTGTTTCTGTGCAATTAAGATTGAGCAGGCACAGAGGAACGAGAAGGAGGGCTTTGAGAACTGGTTAGGGAATGGGGACTTTGTCCTCTAGGTTAGCTGTGTTAAGTAGGACGTGGGTTTGGACATGAATATCAGAGACCCAAATTAACAGTGACTTAATCAAGATAGGAGTTTTCTTTTTCATATGATGAGAGATAACTGGCTTAGCACTGGAATGCTAACGCAGATCCCCCTGGGTCACACGGGGACCTAGACCTCCATCATCCCTTCACGATAGGTCACCATGGCCACATTCCAGGCAGCAGAAAGGAAAAGTGGGCAGCTTGCACCTTCCTTTTTAGGCATATTCTGGAATGTATATCTCACACTTCTGTCCACACTGTTCTGGTATTGAGAAGGTACTCACAAAGGTCACGAGAAACATGGTCTTCATTTTATTTATTTATTTATTTATTTTTTGAAAGAGTCTCACTTGTTGCCCTCCATAGAGTGCCATGGCATCATAGCTCAAAGCAACATCTATCTCTTGGGCTTAAGTGATTATCTTGCCTCAGCTTCTCAAGTAGCTGGGACTATAGGCATCTGCTATAACGCCTGGCTATTTTTAGAGATGGCGTCTGGATCTTACTCAGGCTGGTCTTGATGCTATGAGCTCAGGTAATCCACCTGCCTTGGCCTCCCAGAGTGCTAGGATTACAGGCATGATCCACCATGCCTGGCCTGTGGTTTTTATTTTAGAGGCTATGTACCAGGCTAAAAATAGCAGGTTTTACTCCACATGAAAAGGAAGAGTTGCTGTCCCAATATAGCTATACAATATAGATGAGAGAAATTTCTGATGTGCAGGTAATGTTCTTTCAGCTCCTTGATCTGGGTGCTGGTTACACTAAATTCGTTTGCTTTGGAAAAATTCATTGAGTTGTATAGTTGTGGTTTATATACTTTTCCATATTTATTATATACTTCAGTACAATGTTTATTAGGTAAATTGAAGTTTTACTAGGTTATTGAGGAGTCAAGAACAGTCTGGGTTGGAGAAAAAAAAATAATAAGTTTGAGCTAGTTGAACCCAGTAAGGAGCAAGGTGTGGAGACACAAGGCAGCAGGTAGTGCAAAAGGCAGGTCGGTGGAGTAGAAAGAGGACCAGGCTGTCCCTGCCCTTTGCTGGCATATGTTATTATGAAGGGTTAAGCTTTGTACACAGATGCCTAAGCAAGGGCTCTCACCTCTGTATGCATCAGAAGCATTTATGTAGCAGGGCAAGGGGAGATTGTGATTCTGTAGATCTGGGGTAGGCCCCTGGCACCTTTTAAGTTCTTTTGCTGTCCTGATGCATTCCACAGGGGAGGAAACAAAGAAACCAAAGAAAAACACTGAACTCTGGAAGTAATGGACATGGACAGAAGGGAGAAAGTACAGGAATGTAGGGGAAACATGGTACTTAAAATTTTGGCTTTATCCCCAAGGTCACACCTATTTCTGAGTGCTTTTTTTTGTTTGTTTTTGGCCTTTACAAATGCAGCATTATTTTAGGCTTTCCTTTCTGTTTTATAAAATCTTAATTCCATTTTTCATGGTTTTTGTTTTTGTGAATTGATTGATCAGGATCATGATTCATTTCTCTAGAATAAACTATTTGAAAGTGCCTTGGGTTGAATATGGGATTGGGTCGTCTTCTGTGATGGCTGCTGTGTCCTGAGACTGATTGTGTGCTCTCCAATGCCCTGAACAATTATCTAAAAGCATTGTTGTTTGGGATTATTGATGGTATTTCTAATGCCTAGGAAATTAGAATTTGGAGTGTTTATAAGAAGTTTGCCTGAAAATGAAATCTCACAAGTAGCTTAGTGTTTTATATCGACAGATTTTGAATATGCATGACAATTATGGGGGTGGGGGGGAGGTAGAGTTACATTCATCAGAGAAGTAGGAGAAGAACCCAGATAGTTTTCTATCATGACAGTTAATAGAAAAAGAAGAGAGATTGTTAAGGAATGAGCAGATGCTATGAAGAGGTCAATGAGAAGTTTGTTGTTTTTTTTTTTAAGAGTTTTGGGATTTTTCTAAGTTATTGATGGCAGTAAGAACTGTGAGGGAGGGAGAATCAAGATATGAAGGGATTAAGGGGAAAATATAAGACGAGGAAATGGGGGTAGCAGAGAATACATTACAGAGAAGTGAGGCCATGAAAGGAAGACTTGGAAGTGTGAGCAGAGTGGCAGAACCAAGGACAGCACTACAGAAGAGAGCTGTGTTCCTCTGAAGGTGGAGACTAGGGGAGGTTCCTTCCACACCCATCTCCTGGTCCTTTGGAATGATCCCTGTGGGAGATGGAGGCGATGAGCCCCAGGAGCTCAGTGGGCTCTATATCAGGCTGAGTCAGCAGTAAGTTCACTAAGAAACCAGGCATGCCGAGCCCTTTACTTTGATTCTTGTTTCTTTTAACTTTCTCTGCCGTTTCCCACAGGAAACATGGTGGAATGGTGCTTACCTCAAGATATTGACCTGGAGGGTGTTGAGTTCAAGTCTATGGCCAGTGGGTCTCATAAAATCCAGTCTGACTTCATGTAAGTACTTCTGAACCTCTATCTTTTATTCCATTTCTTCCTCTGCCCCACCCCCAGACCCCTTGCACGTTTCCCAGAGCATAAAGGCTCTTATCAGAAGGACTTCTGGTACTGTACGGAAAAATGCCCTGAAAATATATGTGTAGTTTTGTGTTTATATCAATTTTCTAGCAAGAAGGTCTCTAGCTTTTATCAGATTCTCAATGGTTTTCATAACATGAAAACCCTAAGAATTCTCTCACTTTCTAAGGAATTACATGGACCTCACTTGAGGTTTGCTTCTAAAGAATGTCATTTCAGCTCAGTACGGGTTAACTTAAGATATATATATATGTGTTAAAACTTGAAATTCTAGCTTTAAGAAGAGTTTTTAGTCCTACATAGGTGGGCATTGAGAGGTTTGTGAGAAGGAACAAATGGAAGGAACTTCAGGGTAATGAGGTAAGTTTAATCTCCCCATTGGACTGAAATTGATGATGCAAGTGTGAGAAAGGGGAAGGGAGTAAAATGGCAGGTCAGTTAAAAATATCAGAAACTTGGGCGGCACCTGTAGCTCAGGGGGTAGGGCACTGGCCACATACATGGAGGCTAGCGGGTTCAAACCTGGCCTGGGCCGACTAAAAGAACAGTGACAAATGCAACAACAACAAAAATAGCCGAGCATTGTGGTGGGTGCCAGTACTTCCAGCTACTTGGGAGGCTGAGGCAAGAGAATCGCTTAAGCCCAAGAGTTTGAGGTTGCTATGAGCTGTGACACCATGGCACTCTACCCAGGACGACAGTTTGAGACTGTCTCAAAAGAAAAAAAAATCAGAAACTTGGGCAGTGAGGGAACAATCAACATGATTTATGCTAAGAAAACAGAGTACTGGTTTTAGAAGCATCTGAAGACACATCTTGCTTCTAGATCTCCCATCTAGGTCAGTAGCTGTGGTGCAGGAGAGAAGGGATGTGTCCATGATTGTGGGCAGTAGAGCAGCCATCTGGCCAGAGACCAATTCATCCCTCCAGCCAGGTGACCCTTGACTAGTGCTATGATCTCTCTGAGCCTTGGCTGTCTCATCTGTGAGGTCCACTGGCTTGGATGAATTGTTCCCCTGAATTTCTAAGAATGTTTGTTTTAAGGCTGAGCCTTGTCATTTAGAACCCTGGACAGAGTTAATTTGTTTTGTTTGGGGTTGCATCTCAAAGAAAAATAAAATGTTTCTGTCTCTCATTTTGAGTCCCACTACATATTTGGTCTCTTGTAGTTATTTCCGAAAAGGGCCCTTCTTTGGCCTGGCCTGCTTTGCCAACATGCCCGTGGAAAGCGAGCTGGAACGTGGCGCACGGATGAAGTCTGTAGGCATCCTCTCTCCTTCCTACACCCTGCTTTACCGGTACATGCACTTCTTGGAGAACCAGGTTCGGTACGTGGCTTCTGTACATGTGCAGGGAGGCAGCCGGACCTACCAGCTGGTGCATATGTTATGAGTCATCAGAGATAGAGGTCATGTGCCAGAAGAGCAGATGTCTTTCCAAGAACACTGATGGCGGTGTTTCAAGCCTCAGTTGGTGGTCCTTGTGTTTCCGCCAATACCCAATGTAATGATTCTTCATACTCTAATGAGAGCTGAGGTCGAGTTTCCTTTCAGTTCACATTTAATACTGTCTTCAGTATTCAACTAAATACTCTGTTGACAGGTGTATGATCTTTATTTGCTCTAAGCCGCAGTCACTACCTCCTTGCCCCAAGTAGGTAAAAAGACTCTAAACTTTCTTTAAGCCTAATCCTTTATAATTGGGAGTTATTGTTATTTTGGGAGCCAATAGGAACAGAATTTTTAACGGAAGTAGCAAAACTATTAGTTACTTTATATTTTTTTTATTAGGCAAGTAATTAATTACATTATATATTTTGAGAGGAAAATCTATCCCTAATCTCTGAAGCACTGTTAAAATTTTAGCACATTTGCTCCTTTTGGGGGGGCAATAATATGTGTATACATTAAATACATATATATGTGGTATCATGTTGTACACTTGTATAGCCTATACTTTCAGAATTTATTATTTTAAAATTTTCTTTTTTTTTTTTTTTTGGCTGGGGCCGGCTGGCGCCCTACTCCTTTGAGCCACAGGCACCGCCCTATTTTAAAATTTTTATGTGACATAATCTGTCTTGATCTTCATTTTTGAGAGAACATGAAATTCATTGTTTGTGGAGAAAATGTTTATTATTTTAAAATTTATACAACAACTCTAAAAGAATAAAAACTCTCCCACATATTAACACTCAGATATACTCACTAACAATATTCAGTGGATGTCATTCTAGAATAGACATCACTTTACAAAAATAGGATTAATATTTTATGAAGATTTAACTTTACTAAATAGCAGACAATTTTAATGAAATACATTACACATAAGTTTACTTGAAACTTTAAATATTTTTTAAAATATGACATATTATTTTTTGAAATACTCCTCAATAGTTAAGATAAAAGATTAAAAAAACATGAAGATATTATGTCATTACTATATTGAGAAATAACATATCAAGAGTAAAGAACGCAAATCTTAGTTTAGGGGTCATTGGTCTTTTTAAGTTGTCTCAATGGAGACAGCATCTGCTGTCTTATACTTCCTCCCAGTACCTTTCCCTACTTCACATCTCAATTTTTATATATTGCGAGATTTATTACATTTAGTTCTGTAATAGTAATTCCCACAGTTCCCAAGTCTTAGCTGTATATTAAATGGATTTAACAGCCATTCCCAGGGCTTAACTATGGTGTGCTCCGTTTCCTAGTTCCTGGTTTGATTTTTTCCTTTATTGGTTAGATTTTGCCATCAAGCACTTTCTTTGCCCTTTCCCTTTCCATCCTGGGCCCTGCCTTCCCTGAGATCCTGCATGTGTAGTAATGTATTGATGTTACATTGGCTGGGTGCTTCTTTCTTACCCACAGGATGCCGTAGATATTGCCCTAATGTTTTCTGTCTGTCTGTCTTTTTCTATTTATTTTTTAAGACATGGGGTCTCCCTCTGTTACCCAGGCTGGAGTGCCATGGAGAAATGTTTGGCTTATTGCAGCCTTGAGCTCCTTGGCTCCAGTGATCCTCTTGCCTCACCTGAGTAGCTGGGTCTGCTATTCCTGAAGTTGATTAAGTTGGAAAAGTCTCTTCTGTTCAGATACCTATAGATTCTTTTTGTTGTTGTTGCAGTTTGGCCTGGCCGAGCTGAACCCGCCTCCCTCACTCGGTATTTGGGGCCGGCGCCCCACCCACTGAGCCATAGGCACCGCCCTCTATAGATTCTTTATCTGTGCTGTTTTCAAACTTGCCAGCTGTTTATTGGTCCATATCATTTTTTTGTGGGATGGGTTTGTCCCCTTTGCTTGATAGATAGGTCATTTATTTGTAATTTCAGGAACTTTACCATCTGTCATAAAATATTCAACTTTTCTATCCTGTTCTTTTCCTTCTTCAGGAATGCCCTTTATGCATACGTCTTTCTCTCTCTTGTCCTCCGTATGTATCATTGTGAGGATTATTTTAATAACACTGTAATGTTGGAGCTGTCTCAGAGGTTTACTTGGTTATTCTCTGTGCCTGAGCATTTAGCATGTTTCTGGGCTGACTGGCTTGTTTTTTAAGCCATCTCACCTACATCTGGAGCTGTGATAAATACTTTTATGCATTTATCTTTTTCTGTATTTAAAATATTTCCTCAGTTTTTGGTCTCAGAAGCAGTATTAGGCAGTCTTTAAAAATGATTATTTTTATTGAGGGTTTAAATCTTTTTTTTTTTTTTTTTTTTTTTTTTGCAGTTTTTGGCCAGGGCTGGGTTTGAACCCACCACCTCCAAAATATGGGGCCAGCGCCTTACTCCTTTGAGCCACAGGCGCCACTCGTTTAGTTTTATTGAGATCCTGATACTTTTAAAAAGTTCCTGTTCCTTTAAAAAAAATTTCCCTAGTAGGCAAAACTTTCTCATGACTCAAAAGCCAGAAATTATAAGGAGGCATTATGTTAGTAAGGGACAATGGCTCAATTAAGCTAGAAGATTCTTGCTCATGTAACAGCCTGGAGATAAGTGGTGGGTAGCTTGCTGTGTTTCATACAGTTGTTCAGGGACCCACCTCTTCTCCTGTTATTCCACCATGTCTTAAAAATGGTGGGGTTGTTTTGGATTTTTTCTTGGTTTTTGTTCGTTTGTTTTGGTATTCTAAGGTGTTCTTGCGTAAGTGTTCAGAGATGCTCACCCCTGGCGTGTCTGCATTCTGGCTCACAGAGAAAAGGAAAGAATATTCCATTGTCAAGTTTTTAATCACAAAGACACACCTGAACACCTGACAGTACAGTAGACTGGGAAATGTAGTCTCAAAGTGGGTGACTCCATGTCTAGTTAAAATTGTAGGGTTTCAGTTACATTCAGGAAGAAGGGAAGAGTGGATTTTGAGGAAAAAATGGCCTCTGCTTCAGTTTGTCCCCGGCACGCAGGTGTCCAGGTGTCCTTTTCCTCCCACCCTCAAGGGGACGTCATAGAGTCCCGTCCAGGTGCTCTGTTCAGGTAATGCTTCAGGTCTCGTGGCCAGCATCTCTGTGTGGTATGTTGTTGTCCTTCATGTTAGACCAGGATGTGGGTCTTCTTACCCTGAAACCTCTACAGGAATGAACATGTTCCTCTACTCCTCACCTCCCAAAAGCAATACAGGGGATAGAGTAGGAACCACCCTACAAGCTCCCATTTAGAAAAGGGAAGAACGAGAGATCAAATTAGTCACTAGTTCTTTTTTTTTTTTCTTTTTTTTTTTTTATTGAATGGTAACTGTACATTGATGCACTTTGGGGGTACAGTGTGGTGTTTTCATACACAATCCAAGACACTTCCATCAAACTGGTTAACATAGCCTTCATGTAACTTTCTTAGTTATTATGTCAAAACATTCATATTCTACTCATAGAAAGATTCACTTGTACCCTTGCAAGATGAACCACAGAAGTGAACCCTCGAATCCCTCTCCCTCCACCCTCTCCCCCCTCCCTCCACCCTCCCCATATCCTTAGGTTGTTATTAGGTTATAGCTTTCATATAAAAAGGTTTAAATTAGTTTCATAATAGGGGTGTGTACATTGGATACTTTTTCTTCCATTCCTGTGATACTTTGCTAAGAAGAACATTTTCCAGCTCCATCCATGTGGTCACTAGTTCTTAACAATAAAACATCCTGCTGAGTAGGATGACAAAGACTCTGTCCTGTCAGAACACACTGTTGGCTAAGCCTTAGTTCTGGAACCTTCAGTAGGTGGTACTAGTCTGTCCCTGTACCAAATGGGAGTGCCTATTTTCTGTATTTGCAAAGTCAGGAGGCAACATGTTCAGACCAGTAATGAATATGCCACAGTGATGGAATATAATTGTTGCACGGGGGCATCGCTGATCCTTTTTTTTTTTTCCCAGTTTGGCCAGGGCTGGGTTTAAACCAACCACCCTTGGTATATGGGGCCAGCACCCTACTCACTGAGCCAGAGGCACTGCCCAGCATTTCTGATTCTTAATCGCATGAATTCTCACCAGAGTGTGGGAGGGGCAGGCAGAGGGTCAGTTGCATTGGGTACCACACAGCCATACATGCCTGGGTTTTATCAGTGAAAGGAGAACCCCAGTGTCCCCCATCCTGCAGGGAAATCCGTGGTCTGGCCCAGCAGCCTGTGGCTACATATCGATAGCATATATTGAACCAGTTCTCCAGGTTTTACAATGTACTTTTTCTTGGACGGTCTCTGTAGGTGGCTTGGCGTACATTTCAGAGTGGCGGTTTCTTAATCTATGCATTCTTACAGGCAAGCTCACCAGGAAGGCCTCCTTTTACATCATCTTTGAAGATTAACCTGTTGTCTGGCCCTCAGCCTTGTTTCAGTGCTTTTTAGTTTATCTTGATATTGTGGTTTGACAGTGTTGCAAAATCTATAGCATGTTTAAATTTTGAGGCTTTCCTACAATAGCTGTTTAACATTCATCCAAGAACTGCCAGTTTATCTGTGTTCATGTTCTATATTCCACGTTATCACCTTGTTCTGTCCCATCAGAGAGTGTTATCTTGGGCTGTCAAAGGATAGAATCTTTATGCTAGCCTAGCTTTTTCTCTAAGGGACTCTTAACTTAATAGTGAAATTTTCTTTAGGATCTTGGTTCAAGTTTAGGGCTTAATGTTGTCAAACAGAAAAGACAACTGTATAGCAAATCAGCACATGATAAACCCAGAAAATGAAAAGTTATTACATAACTTACTGTTGACAGAGCTTCTTTTAACGCAGAAAATATAGTATTAGGAATATGATAAAATGATTCTCAGTGTTCTTTTTTAGAGAAGCTAGATCTTAAACCTTTGAACTTAATTGTCCTTGTGTGATTTTCTATCAGTCAGACATTGATCAATTTGACACACATCCCTAAAGAGTATCTGAAAGCTGCCATCTTTTCAGGATGGGCAGACACAGCTTAGCTACCTTGATTTCCTATCCAGCCTGGGAATGTCTGTAGGAGTGAAGAAATGATTAAACACACCTCCCAGACAGTCATTTATTATTCTACTGCATGGCTACCTCCTCGTGCAAAGCTTAAAACAAAATGTACAGGGATCCTGAAATTAGAGTGATCATTCAGAGAGGAAGTTAGTTTGTTAGTCATTTTTGAATAGAGTGACTTTATTTTTCTTTTTAAAATATAAATTAGCCTTAAGGTCTCCTACCATCACCTCGAGGTTGAGAGCTGTAAGTCACTCTGGAGTGGCAGTGGTTGGCACACAGCTGGCTGCCAGTTGGTGGTTGAAAATCTTGACTCTAAGCAGTTGTTTGTCACAGTTTGGAGTAAGCCACAATGGCAGTTTGTGGGGGAGGGGGAGAAGTCTCTATTTGTAATCACAGTTGTTCTGAGGCCATCCATAATTGGGGATGCCTCCCCTTGCTTCTTTCTCATTGTTTGATGGAAATTGTAGAATGCGGAGAAGGTAAAAGTGGGTCAAAGGGTTTTAGTGACTTTGACTCTGCCCTAAATCAATTTGCTAGGGCTGCATAACTCCTAAAATTTGGGTGGCTTAAAACAACAGAAACTTACTATTTCACAGTTCAAAGGGTAGAAGTCCACAATCAAGGTGTCAGCAGGGTTGGCTCCCTCCAAGGGATGTAGGGGAGACTCTGTTCCCTGCCTCCCTCTTGGCCTTTGGTAGTTTATCCACAATCTGTGGGGTTCCTAGGTGTGTAGATGCAGCACCCTGATCTCTGTCTTCATATTCACTTGGTGTTCTCTGTATGTGTCTCTGGGTCCGAGTTTCCTCTTTTTTATACAGATGTCAGTCACACTAGATTAGAACCCTCTCTGATGATCTCATTTTAGCTTGATTACCTTTGTAAAACTCTATCCAGATAAGGTGATGTTCTGAGTTATTAGAGCTCTTTCATGTCCTTTTATGGGGGCACAGTTCAGTCTCTATCACCTCTATAGTGATTGCATAGTGACAAACACTCCCCACAGTGCTCCTACACTTGACTTGGGGCAGGACTTGCCCTGTCCACATGGTCCAGGGTGTCCGTTTGGGGTCAGTCAGCAGAACCATCCACGGCCAAGTCTCTGCTGACCTGGTTGGGATGGGAATAGAAGAAATTCTGAAGCTTTTTCTTTATTACTTGATGTAGTAATTATAAGCCCTAGTGACATCCAGTCATAACTTGTTTTCCCTGATTTGAGGCAATTGAGGGGTGAGCTTCTCCTTATTCTGTAACAACAAAGCTGGCAAGCAAGCATGAGTTCCAGACAAAGAACAGCTTTAAGAAGGGAGTTTGTAAGCTTCCAAGTGTCCCCTTGTCACAGTAAGCAGCTACTCTCTGGCAAGCGCCACCCAGTCTCCAGTGTACCTTGCTCGAGAACAATAGGCATTAGTCATAGTCTGTTAGTTCTGTCTGTTTCCCATGAGAAAAAGAATGTGTTCCATGATGCTGTCAGAGAGTTTCAGGCCCATGTTTGGGCCTTTCCTAAGGATCTTCTATAACATCAAAGGAGGCATCCTAAGCAACCTCTAAATGGAGAGCTTGGTCTTTTGAGGATAGGAAGGCCCTTTGCTCCTAAGCACTATAATAACCCTTGAGTTGGGGAAGTTCACAGCAGAGCCATGGCTACAGCTGTTCTCACTGTGCGTGTGTGTATGTGTGTTGTGCAGACACCAGCTGGAGATGCCGGGACATTACTCTCATCTGGCTGCCTTCTATGAGGACAAGAAGGGGGTGCTCCATGCCGGGCCTGGCAGAGGCAGCAGCCTGCCCCCTGTCTACTGGCTGCCTTCCATCCACCAATACATGTACCCTGAGATGAAGGTGAGGTCAGCTGTGCTCTCACACAGTGCTGGGCTTGTGTTTGGGGTCAGTAGCTGGGGATTAACTTGTAAATGAATGAGGAATTTATGTCTTGGGCTTGTGCAAAAAGTCTGCTTTCAGTAGGTTGTAACAGAAGCATTTGGATTTATTTAAAACATAAGATAACTTACATGAGAACACTATGCTTTCTAGTCATTTCTGTAATCACAGTGCAGAGCCATGCATGTTAGGTAGGCCTGTCATGCTGGACCCCTAGTTGGGAAAAGGTAGATTTAATTCTATGATTGCTTCAGATATTTTAAAGTCAGATATTTGAACTAAAGATGAAGAGTTTGAACGTCACAAAAGAATTTTGGCTTTGACACTGGATTATGTTTGTTTATAGTTAACAAAACACCTGGCCAAGCATCAGTCATTAGAAGGGTATAAAGCTGACTAAAAGCCGTGAATCTTCTTTTCTCTTTCCACCCTCCCTGTGGTGGGTCACAAGATATTTTAGTGGAAACTTAGGGTCCCCTGGCAGAGAAATTATGCTGTGAGTTTGAGAGCCCTGGGAAGGTGTCTTAGTAGAGGACTTGGTCCTTGAGTATTTGGCTAGGTGGAGAGTGAAGAATGCTAATTCCAGACTGAGGGACGGTGTGAGCAGTAGTGAGAGCCATGGCCTACCATTTTTCCAGCACCTTCTGTGAGTTGGGCATTATGCTAACCATTTTTCTATACCTGTTGTAGCACTTTTTAAACTTACTTAAAGAGTGGTTCTGTCAGCTGGTCGTCAGAGGAAAGCTTGGAGAAATAGGTTGGAATCAGATGATAGAGAACCTTAAATACTAGACCATGGAATTTGAACTCTAATAAAATACCAGCTGGGGTCTTTCTGGGACACAGACGCCATATTAGGTATTTCAAACTAATTCAACACAAGGAATCAGCAATATAGGAGTTGGAAAACTGGAGGAGTAAAAAGGGAGCCAATGTATAGCAATTACAGACAGCAGCCACCACCCTGTACTAGTCCTCTGTTGTGATGTAACATGTTACCCTGAAATTAATGGTTTAGAAGAGCATGTGTTACATTTATTATCTCATAGTCAAGAATCCACTTGTGGCTAAACTGGGCCAGTTGCTTCATGGTCTGTGGTCAAGGTATCTTCCAGGGTTGGGGTCTCATCTGAAGACTTGACTGGGAAAGTATCTACTTCTCAGCTCATATAGGTGTTGGCAAGATTAAATTCCTTGAGGGCTCTAGAACTGAAGGTGTCAGCACCATGACGGCTGTTTGTTGAAGGCTGCCCTCAGTTCTCAGCCAAGTGGATCTTTCCAGTATGGCCGCTTGCTCAATCAAAGCCAACGTGACAGATAGTCAGCTAGCAAGAGGAAGTTAGAACCCTTCCTAATGCAATCTTAGAAGTGACAGCCCCAGCAGTGTCATCATATGTTTTTGGTTAGAGGCAAGTTACTCAACCAGAAGAGAGGATTACATAAGGCTGTGAATACTGAGAGCCAGGGCAACTGGGGGCTATCTTAGAGGCTGTCGGCCACATATCCCTAGGGCTGGGGTCACAAGGGGGAGGAGAGGCATTCTTAAAGCCATGGGAGCCTACAGGAGCTCTGCAGATCAGTGTTCAGATCTCTGAGGATGGCACCAGGTGTCTGGTATGGGGATCCTTCAGGGAACATGGTTAAACCTATGCTGAGAGGGCACAGAAGAGCCAGAGGCCATGGTCACAGGTATCCTCTGCTGCTGGGGAAATACTAGCAGAGGTGACACATCCAGGAGAGTCCTCCCTTCCTCCTACTCTCTGGTCTCCAGGCCTTGTTCCCCATGAAAGAGCCTAAGAGGAAGCCAGTGACATTGGAATCCAGGAAATGTGGTTTGCAGATTTCCCGGCATGAACTGAGAAATAGTGATTAAGAAAAATGGCCATTGAGGGAATCTGTTCTTGTGCTGACATGAATCCTGCCATCTTTCTATCTGATTCTGACTCGGGCCCATCTTTTTCTCTGAGTTAAATTGCTACTTAGACTATCTCCAAACGCACCAGGAGCTGACCAGGATATCCCCAGATTCCTCTCCCTACGAGCCAGCAATGAAGGACAAAGGGAGAAAAAGGAAAATTGCTTTGTGCTTTTGCCCTACTGAGGGCAGCAGCTCATCAAAATACCTGTTGGAACAGAGAGATACAGGGAAAGGGTACTTTGATAGGTTGGAGATGCAAATCATTTTAAAAACCAGTATGTCAACACATCAAAACTTAGAATATATGTACTTACTGTTTAAGCAGCCTTACTCCTCAAGATCTGTCCAGAGGACAGAGTGATCTATGTGTAAGAATGCTGAATTCAGTAGAAAACTGGAAAGTCCATATATTATATTAAACTACTGTCATGAATAATGAATTAGAGTATAAGAAATTAACATTGAAAGTATTCCAGGTCTGTTTTATATGGGAATTACAAGGTGCAGAAAACTTGTGATTCCTGGGTATCTATAAGGGATTGGTTCAGGACTCCCCCCCTCCAGCCCCCCCATACCAAAATCTGCAGATGCTCACATCCCCATATAAAGAGGAATGGTGTTTGCATGTGAGCTACACACATCCTCCTATACCAGATGTTCCTCAACTTATGGTGAGATAATGTCCCGATACATACTCCATAGGTCAAAAATACTATAAGTTGAAAGCATATTTAATGTGACACAGCAGACAGAGCCTGATTTATGATGTTTTTAACTTAGGGCTTTTTCAGCTTGACATGGTACAAAGTGGTAACCATTCAGTAGAGACTGTAATTCCATCAACGTCTTGAGGAGCTCCACAACTTAAGATGGGTATAGCACAATAAATCCATTGTGAAGTTGAAAATTCCTAAAGTTGAGCCATCACAAGTCGGGGACAGTATGTACTGTCAGACATCCCTAGATTACTTATAAATATCTGATATAAAGATCACTATGAAAATTTTGAGACAGACTGTGTTATGGTCCATTATTTCACTTCCAAGAAACACAGTCAACAGTGTAATGTAAATGCTATGTAAATGGTTGTTCTACTGTATACTTCTTACAGTTATTTTCTACTCGTATTATGTTTTATTGTTGTATTGTTATCTTTAACTGATTTTCCCAAATATTTTTGGTCTGTGGTTGTGGATGTGAAACCAGTGGATAGAGGGGGCTGACCTTGTGTATAGTATGAGGACACTGATGTTAAATGATCAGTCTTGGGGATAGACAGAGATACACACATGTATATGCAAACATGGGACATGGATATATGGATACTGGATTGTTATTATAAGATATGTATTACCTGGAGATAAGGGACAGTATTGTGGAGGGCAGAGTACTGCTTATATGTATAAAAAAAATGACAGCACTCAAAAAATGGTATCTATAATAGTATTCCATTGTCGTGTATGGAAAATCACGTAATCACGTATGTACGTGTATTAAGACATTGTTATGTAATGTTTTTATTGAATTATGTCGTTTTGGGAATCAAGTTTAAAAATTATAAGTTCAATGAATTTTTACACCTTGATAGCATGTCTAAAGACAAATTTTAAAGATAAGTTTTTAAGAGTCAGATCTGAGACTACTGCAAAAGGGAAAAGAATAAACTGGAAAGGAGGAAGACGGGAAGGATGGAAGCCAGTTTGAGAGGCCAACAGGGGCTGGGAAGTGCTCCCCATACGAAATGGGGAAAGGGAGGGAGAGGCAGGGCAGGAAGGGCTCCAGGAATGGAGAGGTCCCCTAGTGGGTGGGTGGGTGGGTGGGGTGAAGGACGTTGGAGTAAAGAGAGGACAGAGTACTGGACGTGGAAGGTTGGAGAGAAAACCTGCTGGCGAGACCACAGACATCAGGAAAAGAGAGTTCTGCACTACCCGTAAAGAAACAAGGCTGAGAAAAGGGATTTGGATGAAAGCAGGAGAAATGTCTTCTGCCTCGTGCAGTTGAGCAGGACAGGGTGAGGGGAAGAAAAGCACCCAGCGCTGACTCTTTCAGAAGGGAGGAGGCAGCCTCAGATGCCTGCTTTCCCACCAGCCACTGGTCCCACTGGGCCAGGTGGGACCTGGACTATTTGCAATTCCCTGGAAGTGACACATTCCCAGGCCTTTGTAAAGCACTGGGCATTTCTGCCAGGAATATAGGTCCCTATCAGTCATCCTTTATGGTGAAGCCTAGAGGTCCCTTCCCTCAGGAAGTCTTCTTTGTCTCTGCCAAAATGAGATGAAGCAACCCTCTGTTGCTCCAGTAACCTGACCTTCCATCATGGCCCTCACCAGGCTGTATTTTAATTGCTTGTTTACCTGACTTTCTCTACTAGCCTATAAACTGTGAGGGCGGGGACCAGGTCAGTTTTGTTCATTGTTGGAACTAGAATACTTAGTGCTTGGCACAAATAAGCACGTCAGAAATATTTCTTGAATGAATGCATACAGACATCCATGAACAAATGATAAAAGTTAAGGACCAATCATTCCTTCTAGGTTTCTAAGGCCTGCTAGATTGGGCAAGGCCTGCCAGGTTCCTGGGCAGTGGAAGCATATATTAAGGACTAGAAGCAGCCACAGGAAGGCTGGGAAGAACTGGGCCATGCTTTGGTGCCCTTTCTTGTGGGTTTGCTGAGTGAATTTGATGAAATACAGTGGGTTGGAGGGATCCGACCAGACTTTGCCACTCGGAGCCTCTGCTCCTGGGGGATTTGAGATGTGGGGGTAGGGGAGGACGTACAAGGCATGCTCAGTGGAGAGCTGACTTTCTCCTGGAACAGGGCAGGTGAATGACATCGGTGAAGGGGCCATGCCTGGGAAAGGGACATCCTCTCTGCCTAAAGCAGGTGCACTCAGAGGATGAAGACAGCCCTGGTCTGGGCTGCTGGAGTGCAGAGGCTGCCTGGTGGCTCCAATGTCACCACCCCCACCAGGGCTCCTAGTTGTTAAACCGGTAGTATATGCCTTGGTGTAGTGCCTCTTCAGATGTGCACTTGCCTGTGTCCCTAATGGGTGACAAGCACTCCTGCTTCTGGCACTTTGGCATGGAAGTGACATTTGGAAGAGCTCAGATGCCTGGTTTGAAGCATCTCTTTTATCTAGTAGTGGTCGCTGTGTATGACTATTCCTATGTGCTGAGCTTTTCACTTTTTGTCTCAGGGTCCATGTGAGATAGGCAGTGGTCTCCCAGAGGACAGAGAACCAGAAACGTCCACCAGCCTTCTCCAGGCCCCCTGTTAGTAAGCAGCAGAGCCGAGATTTCAGATCTGCTCTTCTGGGGTCAGAGATCCACTCACGGTGCTAGCCCTTGGCTCTGCTCCTAGAAGGCAGCCTGCAGGGGGCGCCAGGCCTTGGCACAGCATCAGGTGGAAGGCGGTGGGAAGTGCAGCCTTATGGGCTGGGCCTGTGACCTGTACGGAAGCCTCCCGGCTGTTACACTGTATCCAGTCCCCGTATGTTGTATATTTGGGGATCTGATCTGGACTGTTTGCTCATCATTTCATTGCTTACAGTGCTCAATAATATTTTCCTGCTGAATTTTTTTGTTTTACTGTCTCCTTAAAGGTACTTTTATTTCTGACTTTTAAAAAGTTAAATTAAGCTTCGCTTCCTCTGTACCTCTTTCTCCAACATAGTCAATGATCCCTAAACTGTCCGGGGAGCTGTGGTAGTGTAGACATCTAGTTTAAAGGTGAAACTTTCAAGGTGAAAAACATCATTTTGTGTGGATGTAGCATCGCATAATATGTCTGGTTGTACTTTAGATCTGGGGGGTGAGGGTATGGTGTTTAGCATCCACTTGTGTTGGAAATTTTTTACAGTATTTCTAATGAGCTGTTTTTCTTCCCCTCCTCCTCCTTCACCCCTTTTTAATTTTTTCAGATCACACACCCAGCCGGCTGCATGTCTCAGTTTATTAAATTCTTTGGAGAACAGATCCTCATCCTCTGGAAATTTGCCTTACTTCGAAAGCGCATTTTGATATTTTCTCCCCCACCTGTGGGCGTTGTGTGCTACCGAGGTAACTAGAAGGCAGTCAGGGGCTCTGCTCATGTTCTCCGTAACAGAAACTACTTGAGTCTTTCGGTCACTGACCAAGCTCAAATGAGTTCAGGCCACAGCAAGGGGAGCACAGACTTTAGCCTCGGAAGCCACATGATTGGACATGGGCTGTGGGGGCAGGTGGAAGATGGATTGGGAGAAAGGGACTGGATTAAAGCAAAGATGGATTCTAGGTATATTTAAGAGAAAAACTGCACAAAATTTGTTGTCTAGTTGGGTTGTAAAGGCTCTGACAGGTGAGGTGGTGATGAGGCAGCATCGAAGATGATAAAGGTGGTGGGACCACCAAATGGGGGACTGCAGAGCGCTGAGGGGGCTGGATTGATAGGGTTAGTGTGGGGCACATGACAAGTGCATGGTGCCTGGGAGGCCTTCCCAGGAGACATCCATCCCCCATTGTGTAGCAGGGTTGGGCCTTTGGGGAAGACCGGGCTGAGTCAAGAGTGGCATAGAGACTGCACTGATGACAGGATATGCAGCATCACCTGGGGAAGAGAGCACAGAGAGGTGTGCCAGGTGCAGGAGGGGGACTGATGAAGGACAGAAGGGACTTCAGGGCAAGAGGCAGAAGGAGGGGACTGGAAGATGCAAGGGTTAGGCCAGAGTTCCAAGAAACCAAAAGGTCCACCAAGACCTATGCAAGACTAGCAAGAGAAAGACTGAAAAATGTCAGTTGGGTCTGGTAAGAGTGTTGTTGACATGGTTCTGCTGTAGAACCCTAAAAGCTTCTCCCTCTGAGTCTCCTCAGAACACCAGGACTACCTGACTGAGAGGAAGTGGGTACTAGAGTGAGACCCTATGCTGCTTCCCAGAGGCTGGCTGTTCAGAGAAGGTGCTGGCAACAGCCTCTGATGTCGGGAAGGCGGGTGCAAACTTCCGCTCCCCCTCTGTCCCACAGTCTATTGCTGCTGCTGCCTGGCCAACGTCTCGCTGCCCGGCATCGGGGGCACCATTCCTGAGTCCAAGCCTTTCTTCTACGTGAACGTGGCTGACATCGAGAGCCTGGAGGTAGAGGTGTCCTATGTGGCCTGTGAGTACAGGGCCCTGCCCTGATGTTCCAGCCTTTCTCCTCCTCCCAGACACGGGGCACCTGGACTCCTTGTTTCCTGGTGGGGCCGGGCGAGTCCATGCTGCCCTGACCTTGGGTTCCATAGGCACCACAGAGAAGATATTTGAGGAGAAGCGGGAGCTGTACGATGTCTATGTGGATAACCAGAACGTGAAGACACACCACGACCACCTGCAGCCATTGCTGAAGATCAACAGTGCTGACAGGGAGAAGTACCGGCGGCTCAACGAGCAGAGGTAGCGGCAGTAGCTGGGGCCAAGAGGGGCCTCTGCTGTCCCGGATGTCCCACACTTCCCAGGACAGCCTCAGGGTGGTAGGGGGTCTCTGTAAAGCCTGTCCTGCTAACCCATCCCTCACGATGCATTTCTGCCAGTCTGATGCTGCCCAGGAGATGGAAGTGAGGGGACGCCAGGCTCTCGGTGTGTTGCCTTGACAGGAGGGCAGCAGGTGCATGTGGTTGGTGTCTTTCTGATGGACATCTGTGAGGCCCAGGGAAGGACAGCTAGGCTAGCTTCCAGAAACTCCCCAATGACCTAGTTTAGATTTGCCCAAGTGTAGTGTTTAAAACAGCTGTTTATTAACTGTCTCCATTGCGGGGATCACTGTATTGGAAACTTGTTTATGCACCATCTCATGTCATTCTTAAGAATCTGGTGTTGTTCCCTGTGAAATAAATGGCATCATACACATCATCCCCATTTGATGGACAGTTAGGGAGGATTGTTACTTGCCTGAGGTTGCCAGGATCACAACTGGCCCCAGACCCTAGGGGTTTGGAGTCCGGGCCCTGTTTATCCTTTTCCTGTCCTTTCTCTCCCTGCCTTTGGGCTGGTGCTGCCCGTTGCAGATGCCCGGCTGATGCCTTGCCTGTAACTGGGGTCCTGGGAGCTGTGCCAGAGTCTGATGGTGTCTCCTTCCTCACAGGCAAATGCTGTTGTATTCCCAGGAGGTAGGAGAAGACTGCAGCCCTTGCGAAGAGGACCTGTTTGTGCTGTGAGTCTTGGGCCTAGGCTCTGTGGCCTCTTCAAGGTCCCATCAGCGCTAACTTCTTTGGATGACCTACATCCCTCCCATGTCACCCACTGAGGTCCAGGAATGCTTCTAGGGTCACTTAGAGCAACCTTGAGCCCTGAAATGCCATTGGGGGACCCAGAGGACTTAAGGAAAGAAGCAGGGGTGGACCATTAAGAGAGAAAAGGAGTCCCAGCATTGGTTTTCTTGTTGGGCTTTTACATCAGGACTGTCCACCACATGGAAGCTCCTCATGTCCCTCAGGACTCAGGGACTTTTCATCCATTGCAATAAAACAGTTGTGCTGAGTATTATGGGATAATCTGAATTTTTAACTCTCAAATTAATTTAGATCTCTTTCCCCCAGATCCCTTAGTGGTGGGGCAGGAACCAGGGCCTTTCCCACCTCAGCACTGATTTCATCCAGCCCTCTGTGATGTGAACAGAGTGGAGACTGAAGCAGGATTAATTCTCCCAGCTTCCTGTTTACTCTTCTTAGCTCACACCCAGGGACCCGCCTCGGGATCAGCACTTGGGATTTTTTTTTTTTTTTGAGGCAGAGTCTCACTATGTCGCGCTTCGTAGAGTGCCGTGGCGTCACAGCTCTCAGCAACCTCCAACTCTTGGGCTTAAGCGTTTTCTCTTGCCTCAGCCTCCCAAGTAGCTGAGACTATAGGCGCCCGCCACAATGCCCCGCTATTTTTTTGTTGCAGTTGTCATTGTTGTTTAGCTGGCCCGGGCCAAGTTCGAACCCACCAGCCTCAGTGTATATGGCCATAACCACTGTGCTACAGGCGCCGAGCCTGGCACTTGGGATTTGATGTAAAAAATTTAATGTGGATGTTTCAAGGAAGGTGAGACACTGATCTGATAGTTGACTCTCAAAATCCTGCTTGCTGTTTTGGTGAAAAGTATCTGGGACTTGGGCAGAACCACAGTCTCATAAAGGTTTGACAAGGGCCATTGCCTCTGAAATGCCTGTGCACACAGAGCTGCTTTAGGCGCTGGGTCCCTTTGCTGAACCCAAGAGCACTGGGGGCCCAGCTTAACTAGACTGGGAATCCTTCCTGAGCATGGCTCATTTGTCCACACAATACTCCAGAGCTGTGACTTGTAAATCTTGTTCCATGTGTAATTCTCCTCTTCTCAGAAAGAGTAATCAAAGAAGAACACACACCCAGGGACAATGTTGGCTGCCAGTGTCACTGCCTGGGGCTGATCTCCCCTTCCTCCTGCACCTGCACTTCTGGGCTGTTGGCTTCAGAATATCCCTTTGCCAGCCTCAGCTCCTCCGAGCTCTCCATTCTCTGTGTTGACCTTGTCAGTCTGGGCCATCTGCAATGGCTTGGGAGCTGGAGGACCTCTTCTATGCCTTTCTTTGCTCTAGAAGGCTCACTTGCTGTTGCTAGCTCTGATAACCTATTTAGGGCTTCACAGGTGACTTTCAGTTTCTCACTTTAAATCTTGTTTGGCCAGTAACTGCATTACTAGGTTATAGTTTTTCCTACATTTCTTTTTCCCTTATGACTAAACAGAGAAAGGAAAGCAGAGTGTGGGCCCTCTCCCTGAGCCTGTGTTTAACCCTGGTGATTTCCTTCTTACAGGAAAATGAATTTTTAGCAGTCAGTGCTCAGAGATTTCTCCACTCATTGTGGGATTAATGTCATATGGTTTTTTTGCTAACCCTAATAGCATTTTGATTATTTATTTTTACCTTAATAGCATTTTAATAATGGTTTGATTTTACCTTTCACCCTGTTTTCTTCCTTTAAAAGATATGTTTGTTTTTGAAGCCATTAAAATGTGTATTAAACAAACTGGCATATAGCTTCAGTGTGGATTATCTGCTGAGCTTTTTTATTTTCTTCCCTCTCCCTTTTCTGCATCTTGTCTTGCAAATTCAGGTTTTTCCTAGAACAGAACAATCGGATATTTCAGACTTTGTTGGAGGTGTCTGCCAGCCAAGACAAAACTCTGACAGCAGAGCATGCCCGAGGCATGGGTCTGGACCCTCAAGGAGACCGGAGCTTTCTCATGGACCTGCTGGAGGCCTATGGCATTGACGTCATGTTGGTCATTGACAACCCCTGTTGTCCATAGGAAGGACACAGGGCTCTGGAACCGCTCACGTGGGATGACAGCAGCCTAGAGTTCACCCCAGACCTCCAAAGGGCCTCATTTCTTTCTTAAGTTGACACAAAGGAATATTGTTTATACTTTACAACAAATGTAATTTTTGCAATTTCCTTTCTGCTCTTTCTACCCAGAAGTAAGGTGAGACCACTCTGGCTTTGTGGTCTGCTTTGGCATAGGACGTTCAGATCTGCTACTTTCTCTGAGAGCTGCTTGTCCTTTAGCTTTGGTTTTAGGAGTTAAATCACTCCCTGCTGCTAAGCCCTGGAAACATGGGGATCGACTGACTGTTCAGAATGTCTGTCTGAACAGTCATATACCCCTTGGTATATGTACTCAAGAATAAGACAACCGTCTATCCAGTATGGCCTTAGATCTCCATCCACATGAAGGCAGGCACTAGATCAGGTGAGCAGTCAAGGTTTTTAGCAGTTGTAGGAGTCAGTGTCTAGGAACCAGACCTCAGCTAGACCAGGTGAGCAGTCAGGGTTTTTAGTGGTATAGGAGTCGGTAGTCTAGGGACCAGACCTTTTCTGTTGTTCGCTAAGAAAAGAACTAAGACTAAGGCAATTCAGTCTTTGTTTACTTGAGCTGGGACCACAAAAGGACAAAAGGATGTTTCTGATACCAAATATGAGTGTCTCTTAAGGGTAGAATGACAGAGAAAGGTTGCTTATAAGTGAGCTGAAAACTAAAATTGTAGAATGAAGCCTTGGAACCTTTCTCACAGTAGTTTACTGGTGGCAACTCAGTGGAATATTCCTCTTTCATGGAAGCCCTCCTCAGGATGGGTTGGCCAGTTCCTTCAGGGCCAATGCTAGCCTTGGAGCTTGCAGGCAAATTCATTTTACAAGTTAACCTCTCTTAAGGGTTAACCACCCTCTTGGAGTAATTGGGGTATTTTTAAAGGGCAGAATTTGGGCTACCAAAAGGTAGACCAGTTGAGGTTCAAGCAGCATGGAGAAGCCCTCAGTTTCTTCATCTGGACTAGTTCTCTGGAGGCGCTGCCAGCCGGGCCGGTGGGCAACACAGATTTCCTGGGTTCCGTAATATATAAAACACTCTGGTTAACTCAGAGGTTGGAGTGTGATGTTAATCATTACCCTGGAGCCAAACTTAACTTTTTTTTCGCAGAAGCAGCGTTCCTTAGGCTGAGCTAATTGGTCCAGCGATCTAACAGATTTGTTGGAAAACTCGACAGTGCCTTCACGGAAGAAGTGTCAGGAAGCCCTGAGTGCCATAGTGCACTTATCTACCCTTTGAGGTGTTTGGTCTGGGACGGGTGCTCTTGCTACCTGCCTGTTCTCTTCAGCTGGCATTTGAAGGAAGGCAGAGTGAGCGAGACAGGGACTATCAGCCAGCCAGAAAGCTGTGAGTTGTGTTGAGGCCTTTGTTGCCATTGTTGAGGTGACAACCCGATACTAGTTTGTTGGTGACAGTTTCTTCCTTTTCATCTTTCTGCCCAGTTATTGGAGCACATATAGATGTACCCATGTCTCTGACCAAGCCCCCGCCAGGCTAATGGTAGACAGCAGAGAGACAGCCTCCAAACAGATGGGTCCCGTGTCTCACTTCAAGGTGAGGTTCATAGGGCTTACTGCTGGATTCGAGTATGTTCGCTGTATCTCCTTGATATGGAATCCAAGACGGAAATAATTCATGCGTAGACATGCAAATAGACATTAATTAATCAAGGTGTAGTATCTTTTATGTAAATATATAAATAAGTTTGGGCATTGAAAGGTAAACTATACAACTAATGAATTTTTTCTCTTTTGTAGTGTGGGGTTAGCTATCATTTCAGTAATATATTTGCTTACAAAAGAAAAAAATCTGTGTTTAAGCCTGTAGCTTCCCCTGTTTGTCCCTTTATGAGTGACCCTCTCCTCTTACTCCTCAAGGGGTAGGGTGGCTTCCTAACTTGAGTCAGGTGATGGTTGCTTTTAGTCGGCCTGAGGCTCAGGGTATCCTAAGTTGGGGGTGAGTGGTTAGAGACGGGAGTAGGGTGAAAGGCAAGGCCTGCTTCTCCTGGAGGGTACAGACAGACCCTTTTTGTCTGGTGCTGGGGAATTTGCTGGAAGTATGCTGTTGTAAACATTTCTGCTCCAGAGCCCTCTGACTCCAAACCCTTTTGTTTCCTTGCTGTTTTAACTCCAAGTCTGATGTAAAGATAAGAGGGTGAAAATGAGGGTCCTGTATTTTTCTTTGGTGAATCAGGACTTCTGGGTTTGTCCTCATGTCATACTTTTCTAGGCAGCTGTCTGGCATTTCCATGTGTCCACCCTCATGGTCATGCAGGGTACAGGTGGCCTGGGAGAGGAATGTACCAGGGTGGCAGTGCCATGTCTTAGGCCACATGGCCTGGGCTTGGCTGACCTCAAATCAGAGCTGCTCCCTTTAAGAGGGAACCCAAGGAGTCTACTCTACCTTGCCACCTTCTTCATGGAGTCATAAATCGTGTGCAGAGCCTCTAGGTGGCTGAACAGCACACACATCACCTCTTCGGTTACCTTAGTCACAGTCTATCATCCTCCAGGGTATATTTTGCGTGATTTGTGAAGTTATTTCCATGGTCACCGTTTGAAGTCTTGCTCTGTCCCAACTCTCCTGCCCCATGTTGGAAATTAGCAGGTACAAGCCAGTGTCATTTGCTGCCGGCTCTCTACAAGGGGAGTATGTGAGGTTCTAAACACAGATGCCTCCAAAGTGACACAGAAGCTGGGAGCCATTGGACCTGCTTTTCTCTTACTCTTGATATATTTTCTGAGAAATCTTCTGCTTTTGTTGGGAAGAAGGTGGTGAATGGTCATTATTATTGCTGACCTCCTGGCACAGGGTTGGGAAGTAGGGTGGGGGTAGCCTCCTGCCCTTCTCTACTGTTGGGCCTCACCCCTCCCCTGCCGATGTGGCTTAGTCCCGGGGAGCTGTCAGCCTGGCCTCATGCCATGCTGTGAACCATGTGCTAACTTGGAGATACTTGCTGACCTGTGATGTTGGGGCTGCCCCATCATTCCTGAATGAGTTAAGATTCTCTATGTGGACAAGAATCTAGGTTTGGGTAAAATATGGTGGAAAGGCCTATTAAAGAGGATGTTTTCAGTTTTGTAGGCTCAGCTGATGGTAATACTCAGCCTTTGGGGAAATGTCCTCTTTTGTCTTGGCTTAGAACTCTTGTTCCGCATGGAGTCAGAAATGGTAGGGCTCATCTCCTACTGGACTTAAAAACATGGGCCAAAAATTGGTTTAGAATTAGCCTTGATTTTAGTTAAATATGAAGCATTCCCCAAGCCTGGTGTAGATCCATTCCAGTGTTACTGTCCCTCCTGGGGCCTGTCCAGTCCTCAGTAATTATGATTACAGTGAGAAGGTACTTGCCGCCCTTCCTCTGTCTGCCTCGGGGAGGGAAGTTGAATTTACCATGTAGCTATAGGAATAATTTAACATAGGAACTTGTATTTATAACTTGTTCCATGTGAAAATCAAGATGGGAAAGTTAAGAGTAGCACACAGGTGCGGGTAATTCCTGATGTCACGTGTGAAGATTCATTTATCATGAAACTACCTATGATATTTTAGCTAGAAGATAAATCATAGTTACATCACTGTTTTTCATTCTGGTGTTTATAAGGATGGATTTGCTATCTGTCTAGATACATTGAAAGCCCTTCAGACACAATAAAAAGATAAAATTATCTTTAAACTGATGCCTTTGGGGAACCTTGTGTAAAGAGCAGTAATGAATTAACCTATTAGTGGTAGGACCTTAACCCTTCTAGAGGAGGTAAGGACCCCAGGCCGTTTCCCCCCCTTTGAAACTGCACAGCCCAGGGTATGGACTGCCACACTTTCTGCAGCCTTCCTGCAGGTCCTCTCAGCTGCAGGACGGACAGGTGGGGCAGATGAGTAAAATTGTACGATAATCAGCTTGTCTTAGGGTAATGACAGTTCTAAAATGGGCAAGAAAATTAATGCAGGGACCCACATGCAGGCATGGGCTTAGCTCCCTGTTACGTCCCCAGCCGGCGGGCTTGAAATCGGAAATGTCCAGCCGCATGAGGTGAGAATCCCACAGAGCCAAAGGCTCCCCTCAGCAGGCCCAGCCGTGTCCCTTCTCACTTCAGGAAAACTCTTTTCTGATTCAGGGTAGGGGAAGAGGAGTTGTTACGGGCTCCTTTTACTCCCAAGTCATGGATTTTTAATATTCCATTTTTATTACTAATATACCTCTGTTCCCAGGAGCTACTGGAGTGTTGCATATTATGGGAAAAGGCTAACTGTGAATTAAGTTAATGTTTACTTATAAGAAATGGAAGTTTATTTTTATACCGATATTACTATGTGATGAACTGAGTATGCAGATACTGAAATTTCAAAACTATAATCTGGGAAGAAATGAGCAGCTTTGTAATTTGGTAGCAGCCAAAACCCCATAGAAGTTTTACTGTGTCAGTATTTCATAGAATGAATGAGGCAGCTGTGCTGTGAAATCCTGACAGCACTTTTTAGGACATGAACATACAAACACGAACCTTAAGTAAAACTCTAGTATAAAATGGGGTAAGTGGGATCGTTCTGATTATTAGGCCTCTTAGTCTACTAACTGGGAATGCATGGTGGTAGTGGGAGGTGGTTTTATAACTGGCACTTTAATTCAATTTTGGAGCTGGAATTTAGGGGCACTTGGATGAAATTGCAAATTTAGAAAGGGAATAAGAATTTTCTAGTGCTATGTAGAGCAATGGTGATGGAGAAATAGAGCCTTGCTTTCATCTTTTTAAGAATTTATTCTAGAATTCCAGCGTAACACGGGATTGTAGAGCTAATGTGACCTAAACTGAGAAAGTCTATTTAATTATAGTAAGGAAGGCACAAATTGCTTACGTTTACTGTAGAATGCTTACTTCGACTCCTAATAAATTTGCATACTTGCTAAGGACATTTGGGGAACGTGGGGATAAGGCAAGGTGTTACAAAGTAGCCAGAGATGCTCACACAATAAAAAGTCCACACAGGAGTAACTGAGTTAGATAGTTGCAAATATATTTAATTAGCATTAGAGAGAAAATTCCTTACTTTGGGTAAATTAAGCAAAGATAAAGTATAAAAAGTTTTTAAGGTGGTGTTAGAAACAGAGAGCTTGTGTCTGGCATACGCACAGAGACTCTGCGGGACGATGGTAGAGTCCGTGCTTTTGAACAGCCAGCCTGGGTGGGAGACTGCAGGGACGGAGAACAGAGGAAAAACAAAATGAACTTCCTTTATTTACCCAAAGCTTGTTGGCTAATTTTTTTTTTTTTATAGGCCTGGGAAATAAACCCTTCCTGGAAAATAAATAGTAGTAGCCTTGGAAAAACAGTTTTCCTGTTTTTCCTGAGTTAGGATCAGCGGAGCCTCCCTGTCGCCTTAAATGTAAAAACTTGATTTTGATTAAAACCCCAGCATAGGAGCTATAGCAATAAGAGAAACGGAATCTATTTTTGTTTCAAGTCCTTACCTCGTATTGTGAAATCAGACAGTACATAAATTTTGCCCCGAATACTATCACACACAGGTACATTGTGCGCTCTTTGTTTTCATGGTGATAATTTTAAAGGCCTAAAGAAAGTGGGGTTAATTCTGAAGCTAAATGTTTCTGGAAATGATTTTGTTCTGTGGTACAAATAACATCTATGTATGTGTGTCATATCTGTATATATCTGAACCAAGTTGTGTGCAGAGAGGTTGATAAAACTATATTTACAGAAAACAATTTTTACAATTAAAGTTCACACTTTAACATGAATATGTGTGCTGCATTCCTTCACCTAGTCCAGGACGTAGTTTGTGGTAGGAAGGATCGGTCACCCACCCCATCCACGAGCAGAGCCCTTAGTGAGGGCAGAGGAGGCTGAGGAACTACTACCTGCCCGTCTGGAGGCCACAGTCTGGATGGACTTCATCCAGGTAACGGGAACCAAAGTTGGGAATAACTACACCACCAGAAGAGCCAGGACTGTGCCCCTCCGTTACATCAGGACACTTGCACACTTATCTCACAGAAACCGAAGCCCTTTCATTTCACAGAATCTCTGATCAGAGTTGAGTTTCAAACAGTATGTATTGGTATACATGTGTGTTTGTGTGTTCTAAACTATAGTTTCATTTCTAATCTTTTGGAAAGTTACAACATTTATTTAAAATTAGAGGGGGGCATCTGTGGCTCAAAGGAGTAAGGCACTGACCCCATATGCCAGAGGTGGTGGGTTCAAACCCACCCCTGGCCAAAAAATTGCAAAAAAATAATTACATAAATTGATGGCTGGCCATCGTGGCTCATATCTGTAATCTTAGCACTCTGGGAGGCCAAGGAGGGTGGATTGCTTTAGCTCAGGAGTTCAAGACCAGCCCAAGCAAGAACAAGACCCGATTGCTACTAAAAATAGAAAAATTAGTGGGGCATTGTGGTGGACACCTGTTTTCCCAGCTACTTGGGAGGCTGAGGCAAGAGAATTGTTTGAGCCCAAGAGTTTGAATTTATGAGCTATGACACCAGGGCAGTCTGCCCAGGGCACAGAGTGAGACTCTGTCTCAAATAAATAAGTAAATAAAATTAGTATAAATAGCTAACACTGATGGTTTGGGAATCAAACAGCCCATGTTCAAATCTCAGTTCTTCCTCTGAGCTATGTGACTGTAAAATATTATAGGATGAGTATCCCTCACTTCAAACTCTTGAGACTAGATATGGATTTCAGTTTTGTTTTTTTTTTTAAGATATGGGAACATTTAGGTTATAAATCCAAAATCTAAAATACTCTGATGGACATTTTAGAGTCATGTTAGTGCTTAAAACATTTCAGATTTGGGAGCATTGGGAGGGTTTCCAGATTAGGATGCTCAACTGGCACCTACTTCTTGGGCTGCTCTAAGAACTGACAGTAATTATAACTGTGTGCAAGTCAGCCATGGGACAAAGGGAAACTTCATATTAAACTATTTCTTGTATTTTTAAGAGCAATGACCTTCACTTTTGAGGAAAGTTAATCTGCCAAAAGGTTTGTACTAAACAGGAAGAGGGGCCCAGGTTCTCTGGACAGCGCAGCATTGCAGCTTTGGGTGTCTTTTTATGTGGGCGTTCTACAAAAGGTCAGGGCAAGGAAACAGTAGGAAAACCAAGCCTTCATAGGAAGTAGCCTGAATTGAGAAAATAAAATTTGAAACAGGGCATTTTTATGTTTAAAAATAAGATTCTTAATGTGGATTAAATATCCTTCCCTAAGCATACGTACCACTGTAATTAGAATCACTGATTAACCTTTTACGGAAGAAGCCAGGTTCTGTCTGCAGTGGCCTCTACACTCCATCTCAGAACCAGTATATGCTAAACTCTCTTGGTTCATGAAGAACCTTCTTTCCTTCCTGTATGGGAGGTATAGGGTGGCTGATCTTTACATTGATGTTTGGAGCCACCTTTTATCTTTTTGCTAAAAGCAGAGCTTTTACCACCACCCAGAATATACTGCTAAATAAGAAAGTCTTATTTTTTGTGGACTTCATAGCTGCTCTATTATCCATTAAACCATTGGTCTTCTCTCTGTGTGGTACATGTTTGTCTTGAAGTATATCTTCCTGGGAATGAGTGTGTAGCCAACGCTGCCAGGTCTGCTCCCCCACTTTCCCTCTCCATTTTTCTTCTTAGGTCTCATCCATCTTTCTATGGTGCATTGACCTCTAGTGTGTAAGAACCTCAGGGGCACCCAAGGAAAATGTCAATGGTAGTGTTAAAAGTAAATGATGCTAATGACTGGCTAACAAAGCCTTAGCTAATCAGGTGGTTTTCAGTTCTTGGCTTTCAATAAACGAATCAAATTGATAGATCATTAGTAACATTTTTTGATGACAGGACACTATGATTTTTGCCATGTAACCCCAAAGGAATTCAAAGAATTGCATAACACAGTTATAATTCTGATTGATGTTGAACCCCATCTCAGCTATAAGTAACATTCATGTATTCTTGGATAAGCTAATTAGGACAGAGAACATTGTAATAAAATGTTAATTTTTAATAATCAAAATCATTTTGCTATCAATTATATACCAATGATTACAATAACATTTGTTCTGTGTTTACATAACATAACAAAGCAAGAACTGAAATTTATTTCTAGTTATATTTTTTGTTGATGAGAAGAATTAATGTCAAGCACAAAAATATACCACATTATGATTCTTTGCTGAATGTGGCATGAAATACACAAAGTAAAAAACCAATTTTAAATTTTCTACTAAAAGACTAGTTCATTTATTTTTACAGATGAATGAAGGCCGACAAATTGGTATGGTATTTAAATTACACTTGATATGTTTGAAAGTAATGTAACAGTTATTTTAAAATAATATTTACATGACACCAGAAAGTACATATTTTGGCAACTATTTAACTTCTCATGAAAAATTATAGATATCAACTTAGATATATGAGGAAATACATGATTTTTCAAAATACTTTGGGGCTACATGAGCAGAATAGTTTGTGGACCACTTAAAGAATCAGCTGGGAAGGGTGGCCGGTTTTTGAGGTCATTGAATTACCACAATGGAGTGGGCCCCAAGAAAATCAGTTTTCAACATGCACCCCATGTGGCTCTCATGCAAACCAACATTTAGGAAGCACTACTTTAAAAAAATAAAAACTAGCATTCTATAGTATTTTTAGCCATGGCAGAAGAGGAAAACACCCTCACATATGTTTCTAGATTGAGGATAGAACTGAAATGAAAGCTAAAAAGAGCCACAGCTCATAGCACAGCAGCACCCGGGAGAAGCCTAGAAACAAGAAAGGGCAGCGGGGGAAGGCAGGCACTTCCCCGGGTTTTCCTAGGACGGTCAAACAGTGCAGGATGGGGGAGCATACTAAGGAGCCTGCTCTCCACTGGGGTTGCACTTTGGGAGAAAACGAAAGAAAGCCTTTCCACCCAACCAATCTGAGGATTTTCTTGAACCAGCCTGAGGAAAATATTTAGGAGGGACGATTGTTAACACTAAAATAAAAGCATGCGCTAGCAAAGCTGGTGGCACAGTACACCTTGGGAAGCATGGCTGGAAGAAGGCAGGGGGACTTGCCATGAAATGCCCTGGGGTCCTGTGACAGCTGAGGCACCTGTTCCCTTTTGGTCCCACTGGTGGCCTAAAGCGTGGCCTTGGAGCACCCAGCACTCATCTCCTGCCCATTCACGGGGCTGTGCTCCGCAGCGTCTGTTCCCTCTTCCTAGGGTCACAGAAGAACTGCAGCTTCCTGGGGAGCAGCTTCACCTCCACGGGCATCGCTTCGAACTCCTCACTGTCAATGCTGAAGGAGCCCCCGGCTCCCTGTGGGGAAGAGAAGACTCAGAACTCACAGCCACGCCAGTGGCCTGCTTGAGTTGGAAGTCTCACCGCAACACCCGAGCAGTTTGTTATGGAAAACAACATCCTTTCTGAGGATTTATCCCAGCATCCTTTCACAGTGCTAGTTCTGAAGGCATCCCAATTTCACCATCCACGAAAATGGATTTATTTACTTTTTTTGGCCCCACCTCCTCCCAGAGTCTCTTGAGATTTGAACAAGATGGTTGTACATGTAATTTTCAAATACAGTAGACCCTCCATAGTTGACTGCCTCCCTATATTGACCACCTCAAGTTGACCTATTTTTCACAGACCAGACATGTACATGTACATATCAGTCCCGTAGGCCTACTTATGTTCACCACTTCCATGTGTTGACCAGGCTGTTTTAGTCCCTGGGGCAGTCAATTTACAGAGGTGCTGCTGTATTAAGAGGGAGGGACCCTGCTATAACATAGTCCTTCTTGCCCTCAACCTTTCTCAAGTGAAAATTGAGAAAGCAAGCCTTTATATACACTAGATCATTTTCATTATTCTCTAAGACTTGCTTGGCTTATACCTAAGATATATCAACATTATTACAGAGTCTATGAAATCCTTCCATAATTCATGCCTTTAATTCAACATTCACTGTACTGAAACTATGGTATCAGTCACCATGGGGATACCTTCTATTTACCTGCACTTTGTTTCAGTACAGTAGTATGAGGGCTGCAATTCTTCAGGGGCTAGCTACAGAGCCTCTTTTTATCCAAGGTATTACTAATCAAAAAAACTTAGAATTCAGATTATATTTCAGGTGTTTTTCCCCTTATAGATATTATTTTAAGAGTCACATTTCACAATACAGCAAAATTCACTGCTGAACTGAAAACAACTTTTAGATCCTTTATAAAAATGGTTCCAAGTAAAACCCACTATGAACACATGCCAGTTTGAGAGCTCTCTGCATTCTGTTGTCTACATATGGAAAAATAAAAGGTCCGGAGACCTAAAAATCACTTTATAGAAGAACCCTGGTGTGAGGACAGTGGGATCTTTCAGGAGTCCCACTCTAAATCCATGTTGCAGAGGGCTGTTCTGCCATCCTTAGGTCTCCCTGAATATGTATGACTCAGAGCCTGGCAAAGTGCTTGGCACGTAATAGGCATCTAAATGTTGGCCAGTTATTAAGAAGTGGGGGTGGGAGAGAGAAACAGAAAGGCAAACAGACCAAGAAAGAGCCAAACATGGCGGGGCTGCCAGCCCCTGCTCACCTCAGGCAGACGGAAGGCACACCTGCTGGCCTGGAGACACTCCGTGCCCTCAGCAAGCAGCTTGGGGTTTCTCATCTTTCTACTTCTGTGGGATGGGGAAAAAAACAAGCTTGAATCCAGTGATGGCAACTGCATTAGGTTACAACAGCACAGCAAGTTCTTCCCGTCTTAAGAGTTAAAATTAGTGGACAGATGGCCTGTGAAGCTACAGGCTTCTGTGAATAACTTTCCCACAGTGATTCTTGCTTAGCACTGTGGTATTTCGTAGATGGAGGAGGTTTGCTTGCTGTAGAGAACTGGGCATGAAGGTAAAACTCAGTGACTAATTCTCAGGCTGTTAGTCTCATTTAAACATTAGAAGGAAATTAAATTCTTTAGGACAGGTACTCACTTCAGTCGTTTGGATAGTACTTGTGATTATTACTTGAAGAAAATATTTTTATTCTAATTTAAAGTAGATATTTCTGTCATACATATGAACAAGTATCTTAGATGTTTTTTGATGATTCCCTGTACATTCAGCCCTCTGTACCCACAGGTCCCACTTCCATGGATTCAACCAAGAATGAAAAATATTTTTGAAAATTACATCTCTTTTGCAAATACTCTTTTTCTTGTCCTTACTCCCTAACTGATACAGTATAACAACTATTTACATAGCATTTACATGGTAGTAGGTATCGAAAACATGGGAAGATGTACATAACTTATATGCAAATAATATACTATATTATATCAGAGACTTGAGCGTTTGTGGATTTGGTATCCAAAGGAGGTCTTGGCACCAGTCCCCTGCAAGTACTAGGGGCGATGGCACTGATGGTAACAGTCTGCTTGGCATGCTGCATCTTTAGCTTGACTAAGTGGCTGTGGAGTAAAACTGCCAGATCTATTTACATGTACAAACTTTACCTACCCATAGGAAGCAGAAATAAAATAAAAGCGATTCCATTATTTATTACTGGCTACAGTAATTCTTTTTTTTTTTTTTTAGTAATTCTTTATTATATGGATTATCATCAGAGTTTCTTTTTTTTTTTTTTTTTGAGACAGTCTCACTCTGTTGCCCTGGATAAATGCTGTGGTATCATCATAGTTCGCAGCAACCTTAAACTCTTGGACTTAAGAGATCCTTTTGCCTCAGCCTCCTGAGTAGCTGGGACTACAGGTGCCCACCACTACAGTTTTTTTATTTTTCGTAGAGACGGAGTCTCCGTCTTGCTTAGGCTGGTCTTGAACTCCTGAGCTCAGGTGATCCACCCGCCTCAGCCTTCCAGAGTGCTAAGATGACACGCCTGGCCATTATCAGTTTTCAAAAGGAAGCTCACAATCTCCTCTTCAGACAGCAAAAGGAAACAGGCATAATTTAATTTCACTTCCTGTAGGAACCAAAAGGACACTGCTGCTGCTGACAGTGTGGAACATAATGACTTTACCTAACTTGAGCAATCTAATTGCTTTTTTTTTTCTATTTTTAGACACATTATAGAGGTTTGATATCACTGGTCCCACTGGCCAGACTCTCAAATAAAACTCTGTGGTTTCTGGAAACTCTGTAGAGAAGAGACAGACTTTTCCCTTCTTCCCTTTACTCCAGATAACAGCAAGTAAATCAAAGGCTGTAGAACCATCTATTAAACATCTGAAGAATTTGTACCAAAAGCAAGAACACCACGAACTGAATGAAAACCATTCTGCTGCTGCTGGTGTAGATAATGAAGTAACCATGGAGACCTGGCCACTGCAACAGAAATGTCTAATCCCTGGACCGGCACGAGGGGGAGCTCTGAGACAAAGCACCGAGAAAGGGTGCAAGCAGATTCCCAGTTGGCATGGGAACACGCCAGCTTCGCAGATGCTCTGAAGGCTGGTGGAGGATTTATAGTATTCTTAACCAATAAGATTCTGGCAGAGGTAGAGCTTAACAAATCACACAGGACTTGCAAGGATATTTTGTATTAGAAATAGGAACAAGGCCTGGGAAATGTCCAAGGTACTCAGTGCTCTTTGAGTTTTCCATTAACGCCCTGGGAATAGGACACCGTGAACTGACATGCATAGTAACAGATACTGTGAAGTGCTTCACAATTTAAAAAGACTTTTCACACACATTCTCTCATCTGAGACTGAAAAATAGTCCTGAGATTGGTAAAGATGATACCATTTCATTTTATAGACAGTGAAAAGAATTCAGAGAAGTTAAATGGTCTGAATCATGATGTCAGTTAAGTGGTAGAATCAAAATTTGTATTCAGCTCTCTGACCCTGAAACCAAAGTTCTTGACAGTTGGCCATGTCACACTGAATTCTTTATTTCAGCTGAAAAGCAGACTGCTCTTACAATCTGATCTCTCCACAGCGAACACAGATGGCCAAAATGGGAGAGGGCCACTGTGCACATAGGCCCCTAGCAAAAAAAATAGTGAAATTCCCAAACAAGATAAGGCCTTCATTGGGTTTCTTTGACTGCATGAGGTACTGTGATGTTAATAAAGTCCGAGAAAACACACTACTTAGGCCTCATTTCCTATAAACCCCAGTCCACTTACCCTATAGTTATAAAGTCTCCTTTGCTGATGGTGTCGGGTTCAATGCAGATGTTCATAAAGTCATCTTTGCTCTAAAAACATGGAATGGAAGAACACTAATGTCATTAATCTTAGAATTTTGGCTACTGCAACCTGTTGTCATCCTCAGCTTTGGTTTATGTCTTGAAGCTGTGCGTTATATAGGGGGCATTATTTCTAGTGTTTTAATTTTGAATTTATTTCCAGCCCTTTTATCTTCCAGAGCTTTACTATTATTTACATAAATTTCTTTATACTGTTTTGATTCTACTATTTAAGCAAAATAAAAACGCAACAGTGAGGGTCTGAACATTCTGTCTGTCACTAGTTACTGCAGTTGTTTTAGTCCCTATGATTCTTACCCCTGGAGGCCAAGATTTCTGCCCATCTATGGCCACGATTCTCAGCATTTAACATACACCAGCTTCCCACCAGATCCCAGTGTTAGCTGCTTGTGTGGAAAGCCTAGGTGTCTGCTTTTTAAAATGCTCTGCATACATTTGGCATGGAGCCAGAGCTAAAAAACACGTTTTTGTTCCATGACGTTTTTAAAACTTTCCATTTTCAACCACAGAAAGCTCTGGAATATTGGAACTATAAGGAAGCGGCTCTGAAAACACACCTGGTTCTTGTAGCACTCCTCATAGTCTGCTTCCAGGCAGTGGGTAGCAATGCAAGCCTAGGACTCTACACCAATCTTACAACTTTGGTGTCTGCTTCAGGAGAGGTCTTGTTTTTTGGAGGGTCAGTTAAAAAATCTGTGGCTCTGGATAACCCACAGGCCTTTGCCTAAGATTACCAGGCACTGCCAGAGCACAACTCTGTCTCTCAACCATGAAGGACAAAACAGAGTGGATGTCTTTGCTCAAAGTGCCAACCATGTACCGTGAACTCCGCAATGTTACTGATTTTATCAATGAATAAAACAAACATGAATTTCTACCTACAGAGAACTTACATTCCACTGTGGAGAGGACAAATCAATCGTAATAAAATAGTAAGTTTTAACTATATTAGAAGGTAAATATAATACGAGTGTATTTAAGAATATTAGAAAATGAGATCAAAGAAATAGCAAGGAACACGCAGGAGGTGTGATGGCAGTGGCTACACTTTTAAGGGGTGTCCAGTTGAGAAGGAAACTTGAGCAGAGACCTGGAGGAAGTGAGGGGTCAGCAATGAAGTTGTCCAGAGCAGCAGTTTCCACATGGAGTTTGTTGACACTCAGAGTCTAGTTTTTATTTAATTTAAAATAATTTTTTAAAAACCTCAGGCTATGGACCCATCCTATAGTTCCTGGTTCAGGAAATGGGGAGGGAGCCCAAGAACTGTCATTTCAGACAGGTTCTAGGTGATGCTGATGCTGCTGATCTAAAGACCATCTCTGAGGACCACTGATCTGGGGTGAGCGATCCACTCACAGCGAGCTATGCTGCAGAGGCCCAGAGGTGGGAGCGCCTGACACACATGAGGGAACCAGTGGGGCTGGAGCGCGGTGAGAGACATACAGTCAGAGGTGAAGACAGGGAAACGAGGAAGCAGGACAGTGTCAGCAGGGCTTTGTGGCCTTTTAGGAGGAATCCTGCTCTCGGGCTGAGTGAGATGCAGAGCCTCTGATTTCTTGATTTCCCAAAATTCTCATAGGCCCTCTCAAGCCAGGGAGATCGCTGCACTCTGTCTGTACTCCCTGGCCCTGTGCTGTGGCCTCTCTCCAGCTAGGGCAAGTGTAGGGTTCATGTTGTGACTCCCTCTCCCTGGGATCGCTGTCCTGCACGGCGTGTTTCATACCACTGTCAACAGTTGTTTCACAGATTCTGTCCAGTTTTTAATGTGTTTAGGTGTAAAGGTAAAGCTGTAAGCTGATTCCATCTTAAGTCTCATATTAACATTCAGAGATCAGTTCATTTTATTGCACTGACAGATTAAATGAGAAAACTTTATCATATCAATAGATGCTGGAAAGATACTTGATAAAATTAAATATCTAGATATTTAAGATAAAAGATAAAATCTTTTATCAAACTGGAAATAGAAAGGTGTTTCCTTAATCTGACGAAGGCTATCTACAAAAAAATCAAATTCTAAATCAGAAATAAGACAATGACTCCTATTCACCGTATGGAAGTCCTAGCCAGTGCAGTAGATAAGACAAAGGACTGTGATGATAAGTATTTGAAAGGAGAAAATAAAACCCAAAACTATTTACAGAAATCTAAAAGAATCCATAGACATAATTAATAATGATTTAGTTAGGTTACTAATTCAGCATCAATAGAAAAACACCAATTACATGTTCATCTATTAAATCAGATAGTTAGAAAATGAAATTTTAAGAGATAACTATTTACAATATCATTAAAAATTAAGAGAACCAGGAATATATCCAGCAAAAGAATGCTATTAAAAAAACTATAAAACTTCATTGAAAAACTCTGAAGATCTACAGAAATGAAGATGTGGGCCACATTCGCAGACCAGGAGAGTCAACACTGCAGAAATTTCACTCTCCTCCAATTGATCTGTGGCTACAATGTAATCCAGATCAATATAACATTTTTATGTGGAATTTAATAAAATAAACATTCTAAAATATTTATAGAAGTCAAAAGAGCTAAGAATAATCAAGAGACTATTTAAAAAAGAGAAAAACACAGAGGAACTTATTATAAAAGTGTAATTAAGAGAAGCTGAGTACCAGTTCGGGTATAGAAAAGTAGAGCAACAGGAAAGAGAGACCAGCAACAGTCACATGTCCACAGACACTTGACTATGGCCAAGGCCTGCTGAAGATCCCTGAGGGGAAATGGACCCTTCAGTACAGGTGTCCGGACAACTGGCTTTCTGTTTAGAAAGAACATAAAATTGGAGCCTTGCCAATCACTTACAAAATTCAATTACAGGTGGGAGTATCTCTTTTTTAAACAAAAATGGAACCATTTAATGCAAATCATTTTAATCACGGTTTTTCTTTTCAGGTGATATGTAGAAAATAATACATACATAAATATACATACGCCATTTTAAATAGAGGTACCAAAATTTATTTAATCAGTCTGATGTAGCTTATTTCATATATTTTACTATTATCAGCACAGTGAACATATTTGTACAAGAGACCCTAATTTTCATGCATTCCACATTCCTAATGCTTCTTTCATATTCTGAATGTACTTCTTTTAATAATAAGTGAACATTGTGAACTATTACATGGCAGCTTCATTGTCTTTGAATATTTTATTGCAAATGCTTTTATTTTTACAAAGAGGTGTGGAAGAAAGAAAAAGATGAATGTGCTGTTAGTAGCGATAAGAGGCCTCGTATCATATACTTTTATAATTGGCACAAAGATAAAAAGCCCTGGGCCTTCTGAATGTGGCTAATCTCGAGCTGCCATCATGTCCTCCCTGAACTCAGTCCATTCAGTGGTATTCTGGCACCAAAGAGAAGAACAATGGAAAGGCACATGAACAAAGTATAGGCAATATGTGTTATCGAAGACGGTATAAAGGAAATGTATAATTAGAAATACTACCTTTCTTTTCTAAATTCCTCTGGAACAGAATCGATTTTTTTAACCTTCACATATTCACTTTCACCAATATTTTCAGAATTCTATTATGTAAAAAAGGACTGCCTGCATTATATATTCATCAGAGTATTTCTGTAGGATAAATTCTTAGAAATACACTCAATAGGGCAAAGGGTATGCATATGTCTTAGCAGTACATATGTACTACCAAGCTGCTGTCAAGACAGGAGTCTCAATTAATACTCTCGGCAGAAACACAGGACTGCCCACTTCCCCACTCACACCAACACTAAGCGCTATTGTGCTTTTTAATCTATGATAATTTAACAGTTAGTATTTTAATTTGCGTTTCTTTGACATCAAGTATTTTTTCTGTTTCCTAACCTATAAAATGCAGATAAAAGTTATCTCTACCTGATGGCACAGTTAATATATTATATAAAATTCTTAGATAATGCCTAGCATGTAGCAAATACAAGCTATTTTTCATGTTTACTTCTTTTATGAATTTTCTATTTTCACCCTTTGCCTGTGTTTTTACATTAGTCCTTAGCCTAATTCTTGCTGATGTATCCTAAAGCTATTAATTCTTGGTTCTAGTACTTCTTGTAGTATGTGATAGTGTCTTATTTATTTATTTATTTATTTATTTTTCGAGACAGTCTAAAGCTGTTGCCCTGGGTAGGGTAGAGTGCCATGGCATCATCATAGCTCACAGCAACCTCCAACTCTTGGACTCAAGTGCCTCAGTTTTTCTATTTCAAGTAGAGATGGGGGCCTCACTCTTACTTGGGCTGGTCTCAAACTCGTGAGCTCAAGCAATCCACGTATCTTGGCCTCTCAGAGTGCTAGGATTACAGCCATGAGCCACTGTGCCTGGCTGATAGTGTCTTTTTAAATAAGTAAACAAAGGCATGATTAAAAATAAGTAAACGAAGTATGATTTTTGCCTTAGATGTTATCCTTAGAAAGGCTTTGTCCATAGTACTTTAATTTTTTTAATTTATTTAACTCTTTAATCCAACTGGAATTTTTTTCAAAGGTGAAGGAAGCTTTGTTTTCCACTCGTTTTGCAATGGGCATATATTACTTTTATAATTAGAAAACAGCTCAACACTCTAAAGATTAATATTGGAATCAAACTTCTAATTTTCAGATTGGTCAGGACAAATATGAACAGACTAATTTGCATAAAAGCTGAATATAGTAATCATTCCACAGGCAAGAATGACTTTTCTATTTCTATTCTCATGAATATTAATCACTAAGGTTTTCTCTTTACTGGGGTCAGTAATCATTTTCTGTAAATGGCCAGACAGTAAATGTTTTAGGTTTGGGAGCCATATGGTCTCTGTGGCACTACTCAGCTCTACCAGTGTAGCACTCAAGCAGACAGAGAAAATGGGTAAATGAATGAATATGGCTGTGTTCCAAGAAAACTTTATTTATCAATAGTGAAACTTGAATTTCACATACTTTTCATATGTCACAAAAAAAATTCTTCTTTTGATTATCCTTCTTTCATTTAAAATGGAAAATCAATTTTTAACTTTGGGATATACAAAAACAGGTAGCAGATCAGTTTACCAAGCCTGGGTTATTTCAACATTTTTCAGTGTATTGTCTACAGCAGCAGTACCTGCAGAACTTTCTGTACCAGCAGAATGATTTTATATCCGTGATTTCCAGTAGAGTAGCTACCAGCCACCTAGAACTTTTGAGTACTTGAAATGTGATGAGTATGACTGAGGAACTAAGTTTTTAATTTAATTTAATTTAAATTCCTTTTAAAGGAATTTAAGAGTTGCTAATAGTTACTGTACTGGACAGTGTAGATTGAACTCAAATAAAATCATATGTAGAGACACAGATGTGTGTGTGTGTTTTTCTCCTGGAAATCTAAAACTATATATTTAATACAGTCAGAAAAATACTGGATATTTCCTCAAGTAAAAGCGCCACAAGTTTTTATTCCAGTGACAAATGGAAGTAACTGATTTTCATTTCTTTTCCTTTTTTGGTTAATATTATCTTTTTTTTTTTCAGATTAATATGAAGGTACAAATGTTTAGGTTACCTTGTCTTTATTTCTAAGGTAAAGTTCAAGTTGTAGTTGAGCCCTTCACCCAGGGGGTATGTGAACACCCTCACGTTGTCCCCATTAGGTAGGATGATTTTTGTTTCTAAAGGTTTTCTGCCACCTGCTCTCTGAAGGCCAGTAAGCAACAGAGTAAGTAATAGGCAACACTGGTGATCGGAGCCCCTCGGGCCACAGTTGTGCCAGCAGCTGCTTCTCTTTGCTGTTATTCCTTAAAGGGACACCACATGATTTTTATCATGACCCTTTCCTCTCTGTCCCCACAAGGTAAAAATAAAAATAACTGAATTAATGGAAGAGCATGTAGCCTTTGTCACTCTTCCCAGATACCAAATGCTTTTCTAATAAAAAAGCACACTTACCATCAGGTCAAGCTGACTGTTCCGTGTGGTGATGGACAGTTCAATGGTTGACAGCTGCACTTCTTTCCAGACCTCTGGGCTCACCTCCGGAGAGAGGGCTGTGGGAATCCATTAGACACAGGTCACCTTCTTCCATTAACATTTCACTGCCCACCACCAACTCGCTGCAGCTGTTCAGCTCAGAGTCCCCAGCCCTTGACACTGACTCTCCACTGTAGGGTCATTTATTTCATACTTCCTATACACAGAAGTAAACAACCAGGCTCAAAATGGATCTCTATGCCTAAAATGTCCCTACCAAATGCAGTCACACAATAACATAAATGTCAGTGACATAAAAAAGGTGCACAGAGACTCTGTCCATTTGTGGGACATTGCTCGGGTCCTGCTCTGGCAGCACATGGAAGGCTGAGTTCATGACCCTTAAAAGGCTTCTCCTACTTTAATGTCCGAAAACTGATTTTGGGGATGTGCTTTTGGGTACTTCAGTCACCACACTGCTCACCATCCTGTGGTTGTGCCCAGTATGACGCCAGCCTTCGTAATATTCTCCTGTACAAAGACGGCCGGGGAGGCGTCTCTTCTGGTTCACTGGGAGGTCTCTCTGAAGGTCCCATGTAAGAGATAGAGGCTTGATGAGTCTGAGGCCAATCCTTTTAATGTGGAGAGAGAAGAACTGTCATCCACACACATTTCACAACTCTGGGGTTTTTCTCTGCTAGAACACTAGTTAAAAACCCCTCACTGGGTGGAATGCTCTCTAACTTGGAGCCAGGAACACTCCAGCTTTCCTTTCCTGCTAAGCACTCTGCCTGGAAAACCACGGCTCCCATGACCGCTGCCTCCACTGCTCTCCCTAACACAGGATAGAGATATTAAGTAACTAATAAACACCATTTATGTGTGTCTGGAAAAAAAAAAAAACAATATGAATGAACGTGGCACCATCCTCTAACAAATTTATCCTTGGTTTCCAGACAGTGACTCAAAAATAAAACTGATGAAGTCCAGATGCGTCAGATACCTGCTTCCCTTCTGGAATCGTAGAGGCCAGAATGGTTTGGCCCAGGCTTTCAATCCAGCCCAAGGCTTCTCACTTCTGCTTGGAAGCCCATTGTCCTCAAACTCTTGATTTTTTGTCTTCTATTTCCTGGCACCTCAAGTCCAGTGCCATCCTGGATCACATCAGCGTCCATATGTATAATTAAAACCATACCCTAGCGGCTATCCTCTCAGCCTTCAGCATCACCTCTAATTCACCACAGCTCCCCATTACCACAGCCACATCATGGCCCTTAATGTCACCCAGAAGTATTCAAACATCTAAAACTCTGACATCCTACCCTCTAATCCCATCTTTTATTCACCTGATTAGTTTTTGCCCAGTGTCTCTTCGAGTGAATTGCTCCCCTGTTCTCAAGTTTCCATGGGGAAAATTACAAAACAGCAACAATTAGGATTTCTCTTACTCTCCCCCTCCTTCATTCCTCCCCAAGTTCGGCCCCCTTCTTCTCTATCTGACAATGCTGTCCTTGAGGCTCACACATTCCCTCACACAACAAGCTTACGGTGATAGTCTCTGCACAAAAGGAGCTGTTTTCACTGGATAAATTCAATTTGAAGTATTAAGAAATCAGAATGTGACCTCATACCCAGTTTGCTTCACTCCTACTGACAGTTATAAGCTGATGTTCTCATGTCTGTTTAGCTGATTCCTACATTTGTTTTCATAACTTGGTTTAAATGCAGAAGAAGAGAGGATTATTTTGGACCCTTAGAGATCCCCACAACACCAAGTTTCCAGTCACACTGAAGATTCCACTCCTAGACCACCCATTTTCCCTCAGGGCCAAATCTATAATGGATTATTTTAAATTGCTTTCTTTTTGGCCCATCTGTCATTATTCTTGCATAACATATGTCCTAAAAAGCCTCAATTCTGAATAAATCTTGTTACTAAGTTTCTAATTCCTACCTCATGACTCAGTACACTAGAGGAAAAGAAATACATCTGCAGAGAACTGACACAGGGAAAAGCCACCATCCAGCACAGAATACAGGATTTCTGGGCTCAGGCCCTCATTGCCACCTGATAATCCTTTGCGGCCTCTTTCTATGTTCTTTTTTTCTTCAAAATCTCCTAATTCCACCCCCTTGACCCACCTCATTTCTCACAGATAACATTGCTTCCTACGCTTTGTGAGAATATCAAGGACTCTCTCCAATCTTGTTTTCATCTACATCTATGCTTACTTCTAGGTGAAAAAGTGTCCCTTCCCCTGTCCAGGTACTCTGGATCCCAGAACCTTCCCCTTGCTCACAGCTTTGCTAGTTTAATCATGCCGTCTCCTTTCTCTTCTCCTCTTCTCATTCTTCTTTTCTTTTGCTTCAGGGTATAAAGACAGGGGATATTCCTCCAACTAAAAACAATGCTCCATAGACCCCCACTTTCTCTAGCCTTTGCCTTTTCTATCCCTCTTTTTCAAAGTCAAGTTTCTTGAAGGAATGGCCTATCCCTGCTATCTCCACTTCTTTGTCCCACTTTATTTCTTAACTTTCCTCGTTACAGCTTCAGCCCCTGCACTGTGGAGACCGCCAAGCCTCTGGAGGGAGCCAAATTCAGTGGCTGCTTTCCTTTCTCTGTATCTGCTGCTGCTTGAAACTCTCTCTTCTGCTGGCTTCTATGTCTGTACTCTCCTGCATTTTCTCTTAACGCTTCTCAGTCATATTTTGTGGTTCTTTAAATGCTTGTATTTCTCAGGGCAATTCCTGGCATCTTTCCTCAATGATAACTTCACCAAACCCAAAGTTTCAAAGTCACTCACACACTTATGATCTAAATCTGTTTTTTCAGTCCAGACCTCTCTACTTAATTCCAGACCTACAGCACAATCGTGTACCCAATTGTCCATGTTCCAGGCCTGTCAAACTCAACATGCACCAAACACAAAACTTCATCTTTCTTCATAAACTTGATCTTACTCTAATATTATCAACACTAATGGAAAACTCTAGTTACCAAACTCGAGGCCCTCCTATCAGAAACCTGGCAATCCTACACTCTTCCAACTTTCGAGGGTTTTAACACAACAGCTCTTCATTAGCTCTGTTGTCAGCAATCTCTGTTACCAACTAACCATAAACCAACCATACCTCGTAACTTCCCACCTGGATTACTCTACCTTCCATCTGACGGGCTTGCCTTTAGCTCTTGTCCACACTGCTGCCAAACAACTTTGTAAAATGCAAATCTACTCATGTCACATTTCTGCTTATGACTCAATAACTCTCCAGCAGTTTAAGGACAAAAGTCAAATTTCATATCCAAACCTGCCATTCTCTAGCCTTCTCTAACCCTCTAGCTTCATTCCTGACATTTTCTTGCATTAACTGTAATTAATGACCATGTCACAGCAATGTGACTTCCCATAGCCTGTCCCTCCACCTAGGATGCCCTTTATCTAGTCCTATATATATTTCAAAATTTAATGTGTCACCTCCCTGGGAAGCCTTTCTGACCCTGGGTCAGACTCAGCCACCCCTCCTCTCTGCTCCTGTCTTGGTCTTCACACATTTCTCTCGCAGTGCCTGCCAAACTGCTGACCTGCGTGGACCTCTGTCCCAGCACATGAATACTTCCTGAGGGCAGGAAGCCTGTTTTACTTGACTTTGTATCCTAAGCATATATCAATAATTGCTGAATAAATGGTGGAAACAGTCTACATTCTCCCAGACTCTACCATTTAAATATGTAGCTACACACCACCAATAAAATTATCCCCTTGAAGGACAATACATTTTACTAATCCCGTTTGCCTTAAATAGAAAAAGGCCTTGTCCTCTCAAGTTCATTTTTTAAAATGACTTGTATTTTAGTGATTTTAGTTTTTTACACTTAATTATTTAATACAACTAGAATGTTTTCAGAAGGTGAAGGGAGCTGTTTTCCAAATGCTTTGCAATGAACATGCATTACTTTTATAATTAGAAAAACATTTGATGACTCTGAATATTAATACCAGATCCAAACCATCTGCCAATTTTCAGATTTGTCAGCCAAATTGTGAATATACAATTTTGATGTGCATGTGAGCTTAACATAGTATGTAGTCCACAGTTAAGGATGGCTTTTCTATTAGCATTTTCATTAATATAAATTGGTAAGCTTTTCACTCTGCCAACATTTTTCTGTTGTGCACTGCCCAACAGAACTTTCTCTGATAATGGAAGCATCTGATAATGTTCTATATCTGTACTCTGATAGAGTAACCACTACCCATGTTTGGCTAGTACAGTTTGAAACCTATTGATAATATATACAAACCTGAACAATTAGATATATTTAGATATGACTCTTCAACTCATTTTCAGATACTAATAGAAACAAACATACAATAATCAGTGAGATTTATGTCGTTCCGTTCAAGGTTTGTCTGGCAAGTGTGAGTGAATTAATAGCAAAGGAAAGTGGAATGTTAAAGAGAAGTTAAATATGGATTTGGTAATGGAAGGATTACCTTCCATTTGAGTTGGTAGAGGGGTGACTGCTTATCAAACAGGAATGTTCTCTGTCTTTGTACCTAATCAAATATGCCTCATTTCAGGGCCAGAGCATGTCACTTGCATCTGTAGCAAGGAATTTAAAAGTATCACAAATACATACATTACTGAGAAACAACAAAGTACCAGAGGGCAAATTTCTACAGCATGAAGTACATTTACCTTCAGAGTGCTGAAAAAGTGGGCTGCTTTGGTTTTTAGAGGCCCAAGATACCAGTACCTGACAAAGAACAAGATAAAAATCTGATTAGAACATTAAAAGAACTATCAACGTGATAGATATCATTCATGATGACAGACAAAATATTAGAATCACATCTCTGCTGGTCTGGAAGCTACAGAATTGTGGCTTAGCATAAAAGAATATTATAGTAAATCTTTAATTTACATTTCAATATCTTGCCAAACAGTACGTAATTAGTTATACAGTGGAAAGATTCTTGCAATTTATAACAAACATGTAACCAGAGTCTCCTTGAGCGCCTAAATTTACAAGTATCACTATATCCTTTAAATCAAAGACTATTGATTGGTATACAGCTATTCCTCAGTATCACTGGGGCATTGGTTCCAGGACCCCTCAGGATACCAAAATCTGTAGATGCTCAAATGCCTGATGTAAGATGGTGCAGTATTTTCATATAACCCATGCGCATTCTCTTGTGTACTTTAGGTCCTCCCTAGATCACTTGTAACACTGACACAGCACTTCACTCTCATGGATTCAGTGCAGTATTCAGCAGGTGGCAGGTTTAAATTTTGCTTTTTGGAACTTTGTGGAATTTCTTTTGTTTTTCTATCTGCAGTTGGTTGAAACCATGGATGAGGAGCCCATGGATGTGAAGTGGGCCCATGGAAGTTTCAGTGTACCCTGAAAAGAGCATTGAGTAGAGGACAAGAAGGCCACACTGAGACTCAGGTGCTGGGTGATCTGACATGTCACTCATAAGGTCACTGACTAGATCTCATGCACCACATCTTCTCACACACACAAACGCACACACACACAATTAAAATTTATAAACAGCATAATCTCACAGTATTCATGTTAAACAACTTTAAAATGGCAAATGTTAAACCTTGGAATACAGAGAATCTACTGCATATTGGTAAATATATAAAAGCTACTGGAGAGAGAAGGATGCCTAATTGGAATTAGAAAGTGGCATAAAGTAGATTCCTCTCTAAAACATATCCGTTACCAAATTACCCCAATTTAACAGTTCTTTATTGATTCTGATCAATATACATTTATTTAGCACCTGCTAAGTATATGGAAGAAATAAAAGAAATATAGATTATAAAATTTTGGCATTTGGGAGTTTGTAATTTGAGAAAATAAGACCCAAATAATTAATACATAATAATGATTGACTATGATAAGGTATAAAATGATCACTATTTATTGGTAAAGAGAGTCAAGAGGGACAAAAAAAATCATTAAGGGCCTAAAATCATTGGTGCAGCCATGCTGCACAGCCATGAGTAACGTGAGGTATAGAATTTAGAAAGATGGGTTGGCTTTAGATACTCGAAAGAGGAGGCAACCATTCCAGGCAGGAGGAGGAGCAAGGCTGTGGGAAATAGCAAGAATAATAGCCAGAGGGAAAAGCTTAAAATTAAAGATGCTTAATTATAGAACAGGGATTCTGTAATCTCATCAGATTTAGTCCCAGAAGATTACTCTGATGACAGAGTAAGTTGGGCCTGGAATAGTACAACAAGGATATGATCCAATGGGCAGTGTGGAGCCATTCTAAATTATCATTCAGGGTAATATTGTGATGCTACTAATAAGGGCCTTGATCATCTGATTTTGGGGAGGGGGGGGAATTACTATTTTTTAAGTGTATAGTTAGCTTCTTTTCCCAATTAGCCAAAAAGAAAAATATCCCAACTCAAGCAGTTTATCTGTAAATTGTCAGCAATTCCCTCCCTCTCTACCAATGCTAAGTTTTGACACCATGCTTGCAGTCTTCCTGTAGCCAGCTAGGAAGTAATTTCTTGGATCCCTCCCGTTTCTTCCTTAACACTAAGAGCAACTCAGTGGACAGTCCTAGCTAAAGTGTTACATGGTAACAAAGAGAAATGTAAAACTTGTTGCTCAGAAACCAATCAAAATACAGCACAAGTATGAGCGATGTTCCTAAAAGGACTGACTTGTGCTTGTGCTTAATTATTAACACATTTTGGAAAACAATTTGTTCTCACCAGACTTTGGGGGGTAAAGCTAAGCAATTCCTCTTAGCTTCTGCAATTTGAGACTACAGCTCTATCACAAGGCAGTTTGTGGAATCAACATAATCATGGCATATTTGCAAATAAAAAGATGTGAAATATTTAAGAATGCAGTATGTAATATAATACAGTAACATCTCTCTTTTGACACTCGCTGTCAGAAATTTCATTAGCAAGAATAATAAAGTGAAACAAGTGAGACAAATGTTTGTAAAGTAAGTGTGGCAGGCTGCCCTATGAAGTGAAAGAGGGGCTTCTTGATGAAAGCTACATGTGAGATCAATCTGTGATAAAACTGTAAACCTTCGGGTTTAAGAAAAACCAGCCCCCCAGGCATGAAGTGAACCTCACACAGTGTCTCCATCAGTCCTCCTCAGTAAGCCCTGGCCTACACTAGCTTTCCACAGCTAACGGAACATGACATACCTGCTTCCCAAGCCAACACTTTCATTTCACACAATGACTCTCCAAAAATAAGTCCATTCCCAAGAAAAGCGAGCACTGGCCCTCTCGTTAGCTCTAACATGCCTGTTTGTCTCATCTCCAACACAACTGGGTGGCGTTACCCTTCTCCCTTCTCTAAAAGAGGCTGCCTGTGGTCTCTCCATTTGTGAGGTCTTCAGAAAAAGTTTTAAAAACTCCTTTCAGATAAAGTCTTCCAGGCAGGACTGTAACAGCCCCTACTACAGGGCTAAGTTAGGCAGTGTCTTCTGCTAGGTACCCAGCTACACGTGCTGAAAGATGACGGACAATCCAGTTCTCTATTCCTCTCTCTTTTTTAAGGGACAGGGCCTTGCTCTGTCATCCAGGCTGAAGTGCAGTGGCACAATCACAGCTCACTGCAGCCTCGAACTCCTGGGCTCAAGTGATTCTCCTGCCTCAGCCTTCTGACTAAGCTGGGACTTAGGTATCCATCACTATGCCCAGCTGGCAATCCAGTTCTCTCTGCATCTAGCCTAGCCATAAGCTGTGCTCAAACATTATGTCTAAAAATAGGGATAAACCCTTCTCTTCAGCTACCACTGGGCTAGTGTCGAGGAAACTGGAACTTTCCCAAGCCTTTCTGCATGTAGGAGATTGTTCCTTTCTACCTGATTGTTCCTATCTCCATTACTCATATATAATTCAACTTCCAGGCTCATCAGATTTATTCCCAGAAGATTAATGTAAGGCACGGACCAAATAAGACTTCTAAAAAGTCGTCACACATCAATATAGTCATCCTTTACTTGCTAACTGTGACGCCAGCATCTCTGAAGGATCCCCAGCGAAGGCCGGTCATTGCAAACACAGGTTGTTCCTTTTCACCCTGGAAGTTAAATAGATTTAATTAAATTTTTGATTACAATAACTTGGAACTCTGTACATGTAAGTACGCAGCAGATGTTCTGGCCTACTTTTCATCAAACCAGAATTTTAAAATGTATGTCTAAACTTAAAAGAAATTAACTCTGTGAGTGCTTAGTAAAAATAGTTGAATAAGCCATATTATAAAAGGAAACTAATTTTTACATATTATGCCTTATGAATCTGCAGGCAAGGGAACATATTATCATCCTTCAGACTGTATGTTAATGAGCATCTAACTATGCTGCTTCTTAGACCAATCAGTAGTCAGGTCAGCCAGAATTTCTCTCCCATATACTTTTTCAAGGCAAAGATAATCTAAGCCTGCATTCTCTTTATAGCAGTGGTTCTCAACCTGTCGGTCGTGACCCCTTTGGGCGTCTCTGGCAGATCAGATATTTACATTACGATTCATAACAGTAGCAAAATTACAGTTATGAAGTAGCAACAAAAATAATTTTATGGTTGGGGTCACCACAACACGAAGAACTGTATTAAAGGGTCGTGGCATTAGGAAAGCTGAGAACCACTGCTTTATAGGGTCAAGAGCTCTCGAGTAAGACCTGGTAGTCTAGAATGTTTCATGGGAATATCTGAAAATACTGTCAAATATTTGTCACAAAAAGTTGAAGTAAAAAGTGATTTGGTCCAATCTTTTAAGGCCAAAATTCCATGTTACAATCAGTGAGTTTCTAATACATCAGTAGATTTTCTGAGAAATAGAACAAATATACAATAGAGCCAGTGCCCCTAAGAGTTTATGCTCCACGATGAAGCATCCCTAAAAATTACCAATAATACATGTACCAGGATTCTGAATGGGATTTTTCCTGAAATTCAGAAGTACAGCTGAAGCCAAGAGCTGAAAACTGGCAGGCACTCTCACATGCTAAAGGCAGCTACCAAATACCACAGAATTTGCTAAAAGCGGGTGGAACCAGCCTGACTTCCACCACACTATCACCCCGCCGTAGCCAGTACAAGCGAAGATTAGAAGTGGGGGAGGAAACCCTTGGCACTGGAAGTTGCTGGTTTAGAGAGAACATGCAGTGTCTTCTCCTCAGGGCAGGGAATGTATCCCCCGAGCCCCACCTTCACTCCCGTTCCCACTCTGCCAAAACCAAGTGAGGAATTTCTAGGAGAATCACACACAGTGGAGACGCCTGCAAGACGAAGACACTGGCCTGTGCGCCTCTGTTGCTTATCTGCTCCTGCAGCAGATGGGCTTTCCTGCTCTCCGTACCTGCTGCAACAGGGAAGGGGGAACTTGACAGAGAAATAGCAGAGAAAAGAGGTGAAGGTGAGGTACCTTGTTGGCTGGCACAGCAAAGAGATATCAGTTTCCTGGGTGCCAAGCAGACCAAGCAATACTGTAGAAGATGGCAGGGCTTTGAGTCATCTTGACAGTAGCCATCTACGCATCTGGCCCAGGTCCATGGTGCTCAGGCAGTAAGAGGCTGTGAAGGGTCCCATGCCTGGGCACTGAGGGAGGGAGTTGGAAGAGGTGGTGCTAGAACAGTTCTCCAATATCAGAAAACAAGGTTCTGAGGAGGCAGCTCAACAACTCTAGGATGAACCCACCAGACAGCCAGCACCTGGGCATCAGCAACCAAGAGGGAATCGGAACACTGGCTATAAGTAAAAGGATTTTCTCCAGTCCTTCCTCTGTGCTCTCATGATAGGGGAGCTGAAAACAGTGGGAAGAGGGAGAGTGGGATGAAAACATAGATATCCCAGTGACGTTGCAGGGAAGGAGTGCCGCTAATTTGCTAATTGATGTAAGAAGGCAAGGGAAGATATCACTGATGCAGTGACATTTAAACAGAGACCTGATGGACACAAGCAACCCAAATAAGGCCAAAGAAGTGACAGGGACAAAGCCGGGGGCATCAGCATACCAGATTTTAGGCTGTACTACAAGGCCATAGTGGTCAAGATAGCATAGTACAAAAATAAAGACATAGACATTTGGAATCAAATAGAAATCCAGGAAATGAAACTAACATCTTATAGCCACCTAATCTTTGATAAACCAAACAAGAACATACCTTGGGGGAAAGAATCCCTATTCAGTAAATGGTGCTGGGAGAATTGGATAGCCACATGTAAAAGACTGAAACTGGACCTGTGCCTTTCTCCACTCACAAAAATTGATTTAAAATGGATAAAAGACTTAAATTTAAGGCAAGAAATGATAAGATCCTCAAAGAAAGCATAGGAAAAACATTGGAAGATATCAGCCTGGGGAAAGACTTCATGAAGAAGACTTCCATGGCGATTGCAACAACAAAAATAAACAAATGGGACTTAATTAAATTGAAAGGCTTCTGTACAACAACTAAGGAGACAACGACCAAAGCAAATAGACAACCTACACAATGGGAAAGAATATTTGCATATTTTGAATCAGACAAAAGCTTGAAAACTAGGATCTACAGAGAACTCAAATTAATCCACATGAAAAAAAGCCAACAATCCCATATATCTAATGGACAAGAGACATGAATAGAAACTTCTCTAAAGAAGACAGATGAATGGCTAGCAAACATAAGAAAAAATGCTCATCATCCTTAATTATTAGAAAAATGTAAATCAAAACTACCCTGAGATATCATGTAACCCCAGCAAGAACAGCCCACATTACAAAATCTCTAACCTGAAAATGCTAGTGTGGATGTGGAGAGAAGGGAACACTTTTACACTGCTGGTGGGACTACAAACTAATACAACCTTTTTGGAAGGAAGTATGGAGAACCCTCAAAGAACTCAAGCTAGACCTCTCATTTGATCCTACAATCCCATTACTGGGCATCTACTGAGAAGGAAAAAAAAAAATCCTTTTATCAAAAGGACACTTGCACTAGACTGTTTATCACAGTTCAATTTACAATTGCCAAAATGTAGAAATAGCCTAAATGTCCACCAAGCCAGGAATAGATTAACAAGCTGTGGTATATGTATACCATGGAATACCTATCAGCCATTAAAACAGATGGAGACTTTAAAAAAAAAGATAGAGCCAACATGGTTTCTTGCCTACCTGAATCTGGGGAGTCAAAGATTACTCTAGCATTTTTGAATATAATAAGGGATAATTGCATCAAAGTATACGTGATGATTTAAAGACTGTATTATTTCCTATTAATGTTATGTGCGCTGATCACTAAATGTTTATACCATGCATAGTAACTTACAACAATGGTTTTGAAATGAGAATCCTCCCATAATACCTAAGTGATCTTAGGCAAGTTATTTTACTTGTGCCCACTGGCTGCCACCTCTGAACACAGGGTCATCTTTTGCTCACTATTAAAACAAACTCCTCCAGGTAATCTCCTATAAGGGTATCAGCACTGTAATCTCACCTGCTAGCACAAGGAATGGCAAAAGCAAATACACAAAATCTATAATAAGGGACATTTGAAACTTACTCTACTTAGGCTGAAATATATATTACTATCATCTATAGTCGCCCTGCAGTGCAATACATCTTAAAATGTAATCCTTCTAACTTCAATTTTGAACCATTCGACTAATATTTAAAAAGAGAAGGTACCTACCTGGCGGGAGGTTGGAAAGGACTAGAGAGAAAGAAAAGACAGAGAGGAAAGAACGCTTCAGCATCGGGAAGAGCAGCGACGTTGTGTGAGTTTGCTCTGTCTGCAGCAGCATTTCCCTGAATGTTTCATACGTGGGATAAGTGCTACATCTAACAGTGCTGCTGATGATGATGATGACAGAAGATTCCACAGTGAAATAGGATAAAACATACCAAACTTATTTGGCTTAAGACAAATCGTGTTTACTGCAGTTCTTAGAATCTTTAACATGTTAATGTGCATTATAAATTTCCAAAAGGGGAAATGCAATATACAATTTTCCTGAGTTTTAACTGTGCAACTCTTCTCTGGGAGGACATCTTTGCATAGCTAATACTCCATGGAAAATGCTGCTCTGAAGCATACAGAGTAGGCAAGAGGCGCTCAAGATTTGCTGACGGGTGCTCTAAAACTATTTTCTCCTTCTTCACTAGAGGGGAGAATTTTAGGAATATTCTGTTATAATTAACTGAAAATCTCTGCAAATTCTAAGTTTCACTGGTGTGAAGTGGTTAAGTCCTAGCAAGAGGTGAGAATGGTTCTGGACAACAGGAAGCAAGTAACCAAGGCATACTGTGTGTGGGTTGATCTAGAGAAACCCGGCAAACAGCTGGATGGGCACACAGCTGGATTCAGAAGAGGCCTGAGGGTCAGTCTGGAGAGACGAGTGCCTGTGGGGTACACACGAGCACAGTAAAAATAACCAAGGTTCAAGGACAGAATAGAAACCAACTGACCAAGTACCACTGTATCTTAGCCCACTGATGGCCTGGGCAGGCAGACAGCTTAGGAGATGGACAGGTCAGTAAACAAAAACCCAAAAGGAAAGACAAACACACAGAGCCAGATCTTAAACGCAAAGGAGATATGCTACCCCAATTCACAGACTCCACTGGAAACGGTAAATCCCTGTGAGAAAATGGCCTACTGGTTTGCAGATGAAAATAATTGGGAGAGCTGGTTGGAATAAAAGCTTAAGGAATATTGAAAAGAAAGCAATTCTTGTCAGCTAGATAGGTGTCTAATCTAAGAATTTTAGGGATCTCAGATTAAAAGACAGAACCAGCCAGAAGGAACTCGGAAGCAGTTCCAAGCATCTTAAGGGAATAATCAGATCCAGGATCTAAAAAGGAGTCCATATAATCAGCCAGGAATGGCAGAGAAAGGGAAGGATTCTGATTCCCCATCACCTTCACTATACCTTACTTAGTTCTGGGTTGGCAGGATGTAAGAGTCCAATCGAAAAAAAAAAGAAGAAAGAAAGAAAGAAAAGAAAAAACTTGAAAGAAATTCCTTAAATCTTTCCAGTAGTCACTTTAAAGTCAAATACTAGGGATTATAGCAGTTTGTATGGGACAAATTG